TTTGTCCATTTTAGAGTCGATTTTAAAGACTCACTTCCAGCATCTTTAATCAGTGCCCTAAGTGATGCGGTTTTTTCAGCATAGTTTTCAATCCACTCGGAGTTAAAACCAGTCATTCCCAGAAATGTCATCATTTGTCCGACAGTTTGTGGTTGTGGAGCTTTGCTCACACCTTCCACGTGTTCTGGTGAGATGGCGACAGTCCCATGGGAGATTACTCTCCCTAGGTACTCTACCTGTGGTTGGCAGTACTGAAGCTTTGTTAGAGAGGCTTTGTGTCCTCCCCGAGCTAACTTCTGTAGGACTTTAATGGAGTCACGATGACAATCATCGATTGTTCGTGCGCAAATCAGTAGGTCATCAACATACTGAATCACAGTGCTGTTCACCTCGATGCCTTCGAGGCTCTGTTTCAAAATCTGATTAAAGATGTGTGGACTGTGTTTTAGCCCTTGTGGTAGCCTTCTGTACGTGAGCTGTCTCCCACGAAACGTGAAAGCAAAAAGATATTGTGATTCTTTGGCCAATGGGATGCTAAAAAATGCTGAACACAGATCAATTACCGTGAAGTATTTAGCTTCCCCATCAATGTTACTCAGTAATGTGCTTGGGTTTGGCACGTCTGCGTCAAAGTCAGTGATCACTTCATTTACAGCTCTTAAATCATGTACCAGTCGGTACTTGAGCTTGTCTGCTTTTAGCACTGGCAGAATTGGAGTGTTACATGTGCTATAGGTTTCTTTTAGTACTCCTGCTTGAATTAGACCTTCAATAGTTGCATTTATACCCTCTTCTGCTTCTGGCTTTAGTGGGTATTGGGGTCGATAAGGCAGTCTTGCATTTGGCTTCAATTCCACTTGAACTGGAGTTGCCGATGTTACCAGTCCAACATCCGTGTCATGTTTAGACCATAGCTGGTCTGGAACTTGTTTTAGCATGTTGGCTTTCAACTTGTTTTGAACTGTTTCTGATTCTGCTACACCTTGCATGTGTTTTTTGTTTGCGACTGTTACAACCTGTGGTTTTGACATCATGGTGCCGCCGCAGAGAATTTTAATCATTTCTGCATTTTTTGTAGTATAGATTAGCGGGTTATCTGTTTTCTGCCACTCTGTTTTAGTTGCTGTTAACATCATTGGTCCAAGATCTCTTGACCCAAAGCCTTTGTTTACCATTAAGGTAATGTGTGGTGCTGATTCTGGCACAGTGTGCCATTTTTCAATAAATGGGTTTTCTTCCACATTCACAGCTGCACCTTGCTGTCCTATCACGATGTATTGTGACACTAGCCTAACGTGCAAGTCTTTTGTTTCTTTGTCCCATTTTTCTTCAAAGATTCTACTGCATGATGGATCATAAGTCATTGTGCAGTGATAGTCACTGAACGGTGCAGTAGCTTCTGGAATTTGAGCTTCAATAAATTTTTCCCACTGTTGAAACATCTCTGAGACTGGCTTGTTAATGTCACCAAGCCAGTAGACCTTAGCGTATTCTGTCTGAGCAGTCATTTGAAAGTTTATTCCAGAGCTATCTACATAAATTCCTTCTGGTGTGCACCAGATTTTTGTTTTTAGTTTACACAATGCATCTCTTCCTAGTAGATTAACTGGAGTTTGGTCTGAAATCAGAATTGGAATTACGATTTCACTGTCATCAACTGCTAGTCTTACTGGAGCTGTTAAGGGGTTTATTTGTTTTGTTCCCGAGAACCCTGTTGTCTTTACGCTTTTCTCAGACATGGGGAGATGAGTTGCATAATTTGATTTTATGCATGAGTAGGTTGCCCCAGTATCTACTAACATTGGGACCGATTTGCCTTCTATTTTAACATTGATCACTGGTTCTTTATTGGCGTTAGCTATTAAAATTGGTAGTTGCTCCTCCCCCCCAGGGCCCTCCGGGCATCCCTAGAATCCTTGTTGTGCTGCCCATGGATTAACTGGACCTCCTCTTCCCCGGTTTGGTCGTGTTCCACGACCACGCCCAGACCATTCAGGGTTTGGAATTGGATTCGGACAGTCTCGATACAGGTGACCCATCTGGCCACACCCCCAACATGAACCTGGAAGTGGGGGTCGGTTCTGCTGCACCCAGCCTTGTCGGGTTGGGTAGCGATTGGGGAAACGATTTGGAAATCGTCTCTGTGGTCCGGGCTGCTGTCTACCATACTGGTTTGGGTAGACATTGATAACCGGTTGAGATGGAGTTTGAGGCGGGGCCACAGCTGTCTGCAATGCTTGAGTTTGACTGTCACTCTTGCTGTCACTTTTCTCCACTGCCGCCTGGGTCTTCGCCTTGTGCTGGAGATCATTTATGTGCAACTGCGTGAGTTTTCTCTGAGCGCACTTTTCTTGCTCAATCATTTTGTTATTGTCTTTCCGATAGCGGTCCACTGCGTGGACTACATGGTCTCTGAACTGCACATGTGGCATTGAGTCCAGTCCCACAACATCCTCCAGTTTGTCTCGCACAGGAGTCGGGAGAGCAGAAATCAGGGATGTTCGGAACAGAGAAGTCATTATCGGCGTCCCCTCAGGACCCTCCTCCGTCTCCAGCTTCCACCGTCTGAGCTGCCTGTCAACAAATGACGCAGGACTCTCAGTCTCTGAAAGTGGCTCACCTTTCAAAGCTTTGGGGTCAATCCTGTTGGGATATGCTGCTCTTAGTATGTTCCAGAGTGCATTTCTGTATGTGTTAAACTCCGTACCGTCAGCCATTGGGTCCAGCATCCATTGGACTCCATTGGATGCTAGCAATGTTCCCATAGCTGATGTCCCAACAACTCGAGCCAAAATAGCTTTGAGATCTCCAAGGGCAAGCATTAGCCCAGTTGTCTCCTGTTCGAAGGCCCCAATCCACCTTCCCGCGCCATCTTGAATGTGGGGCAGCCGTGAAACCAAACCAGTGAGGTCGAGGCTCTGCCAGGGAATATAATTAGCTCTTGTGCCCTTAATTAAAATTGGGTACTGACCATCATTAGTGTATCGAATAGGTGGTTTTAAGTCATGTCTGGGTCTCAGCTCACGGCTTTCACTGCTAGGACCTGGTTTTTCCTTCTCCTGAGTCAGACCTGTATTTGGGTCACCACGCTCTGGTGAGTGAATGCCTGGTTTGTAAAAAGGCTTGAAATTTTTCTCCTTGCTTGTGCTAGTGGTGTTCTCACTAACCTCATCTGAATGTGTGCCTGTGATGTGATTTAAGGATTTCCGCAGGCCTTCAGATATGTCCTGTATAATTTGGTCAACATCGTTTAGCTCATCATGTACATCCTCATCCTTGTTCTCAAGGTCAATCCAGTATGAGTTAGCCTTCGGTTGCCTTTTCAAAAAATCCTTATGTTCTGCAAAACAATCAATCTCCCTTCGTCCTTCTTCCCTTACCGCTCGACGTTCTGTACTGCAATATTTTGGATGCGTTCCACGAGGTGGAGTTGTTTGTTCGAATTCTCTTTCCTCACTTCCTTTTGCATGCTTTTCTTTGCCAGGTGCTTCATCTGATTGCTGTGATGTTGTTAATTTTAAAATTGCATTGTCAACATCTAAACCCTTAGGACCTTTGTCGAATGTGTCGCGCAAATCAAAATCTCCCGTAATTGTAACGGTTCCCAAAAGGGGATACAGGCCCTCTTCTGCTGGGGCCTTCACTTCCTTCTGGGGTTTGTCCAATTTGTCTTTCATTTTAAGAATGGCATGTTTAAAGTTCTGTCTGTAAATCTTTCCTTCATTCCTGAATAAGTCCAGGATCTGAATTTCTTTTTCTCTTTTCTGCTGTCTTTTCTTAGATCCATCTGCTTTATGATCCTGAATTCTCAACTCCAAATTATCGCACGCCACTACGTCAAAAGTGCCTTCAGATGGCCACGGATTGCATAGTTTTCTCGTCCGTTTTGACCACTTCTCTGACATGTGCTTTATTTCTTTTGCTAAAGCAGGATTCTTCGCTGCCAAAATTCCTGCTGGCGTGACAGACATTTTGAAGTTTCAGTGACACTATTATTCCTTTGATTAGTTGACTAGTTTGTTTATTTATAATCTCCTGAAAATAACACAAGAATTGAAAGTTGAAACAGATACTGGTGACATATGATGCTGTGGTCTTGAGTAATCTGTTGTTGCTCTGTTTACACAAATGTTGAACAATTTATCTTCTTATTGTAAATGCCTTAAAATCAAATCTCTTCTGATGTAACACTAAAGTAAAGTTAGTTCAAAAAGCTTTAGTTATTGTTGAAAGAAAAACTTAATGCCTGAAAGTTTTTATAGGTGAACCTTTTAAATCTGGATTCAATATGTATTATTTTCCCTTTTTTCTTTTTTTTTTTTCCTCAGCAGCTGTGCAGTGGCAGGCTAAAAATAGCCTTATGCTGAAGCTCAAGCTTGTGTGTGAGCAAAACTCAGCCCACAGGGTGGGGTTTCTCTACGCCCTCTGGCTCACCAACCTATCCACACACAGAGGTGGAGTCAGAGGCGGGATCGCCTCTGTACTTCTGTGTCTGTGCGTGTGTATGGAGAGGACAGCTTGTAGGTGGAGCTTCTCTTATAACTCAGTAATAATTTGGCAAACATTGAACAAAACATTACTGAATACTGCTAATGTTTCACATCCCTTTTTTGGCTGTGAAATTTTTATACTAAAGTTGGTGACTGTCACATTTCAGTTATGATTTGACAAAACACTAAAAACTTCTGATTTTCAAAAATGTTCACATTAAACAAGGCTTTTCAACCTTGTACGTGCTGCTGTGTTGCAAAGTACACACCAAATAGTCACCTTTATTCTTTCCACCGACCACTAAGTATTACGTTTTGGAGGCATCCCAGAAGGGTAGGGATGCGTTGCTCAACAGAATCTGTATAGCTCAGCAGTTTACATCAGGCCAGACAAGTCAAACATGAAAGCAGTGTAAAAAAAAAACATCTGAAATCTTTGCAAATAAAAGTCACAAGAAGATTTCCAGCTGCTTAACTAATAAAAAATGTATGTAATTTCTATTTTGACAGAAAATGTCCCGCAAGATCCTCACCATTCTGGCAGTCTGCTGTGTTTTTGTGCTCGGACCCTCGTCCTGTGGAGGCAGCAACATTCTGGTGGTGCCAGTTGATGGCAGCCATTGGGTCAACATGAAGATAATTCTTGAAGAGCTTCACTCCAGGGGCCATGACATCACAGTTCTGCGTGCTCAGAAGAGCTGGTACATCTCCAGTAACTCCTCAGTCTACACAGCTATTGATATTCCAATGGTAGAAACTGAAGACGACAGCAGCCTCTACATACAATTTATGGAAAACGTTATGAATTGCCGCAGCTATCCCGCTTTTATAAGTTCATTTTGTCAACAGCGCTTGATGACAGATATGTTATCAGATGCCCATGTGATTTTGGCCAAATCAGCTGAAGCTATTTTAGATGACTCTGTGTTTATGACGAAGCTACAGGAGTCTAAGTTTGACCTCATGTTGACAGACCCAGTTCTGACTGTAGGAGTTCTTCTAGGTAGTTACCTCAAGCTACCGATGGTTTTTAACGTTCGGTATATTAACACTGTTGAAGGTCATTTTGTCATTGCTCCATCTCCTGTCTCCTATGTACCTATGTCCATGAGTGAGCTTCACGATAAAATGGACTTTCTAGAAAGGACAAAGAATATGTTGCACTATCTCTACTATGTTTATGAGCAGCACTTCATCATTAACCCTGTATACTCAGATGTGTTCAGGAAGCACTTCCCTGTTGGGACCGACTTATTCTCATTGGAGCTTTCAGCTGATATCTGGTTGTTAAGGTCAGATTTTGTCTTTGAGTTCCCTCGGCCCACCATGCCCAATGTGGTATACATTGGAGGGTTCCAGTGCAAAGAGTCAAAACCTCTCCCTGCTGAGTTGGAGGCATTCATGCAGAGTTCTGGGGAACATGGGGTCATCATCATGTCTCTAGGGACATTTATATCAGCTCTTCGTCCTGAGATCACAGAGGCCATCGCTGCTGCCTTTGCTGAGCTCCCTCAGAAGGTGATTTGGAGGTTCACTGGTGAAAAGCCTTCATCGCTGGGAAATAACACCATGCTGGTGAAATGGCTTCCTCAGAATGATCTCCTTGGACACCCCAAGACTCGTGTCTTTGTAGCCCATGGAGGGACCAATGGCATGTATGAGGCAATCTATCATGGTGTTCCTGTTTTAGCTATGCCTCTTCTTTTTGATCAGTTTGACAACGTACTCCGACTGAAGGTACGTGGTGCCGCTCGAGTTGTGGAGGTCAGATCTCTGACCAAAGACAGCTTCCTGGAGGCTCTAGAGGACGTCTTAGAGAATCCATCTTACCGCCAAAACGTCCAGCGTCTCTCCCAGCTACACCGTGACCAACCAATGTCTCCCATGGACACGGCCATCTTCTGGATTGAGTATGTCATCAGGAACAAGGGAGCGCCCCACCTACAGGCAGCAGGTTTCAGCCTGCCGTGGTATTCCTACTTCTGTCTGGATGTGGCTGCCTTCTTTATGGTCATAACTGGAACCTTCATCTGGGGTTCAGTCCTGATCTGTAGGTTTCTCTGCTGCAGGAGGTTCAGCAGAAAAATGAAAGCAGAGTAACTGACTTACAGTAACAATGTTCAAGGTGTCTGGTATGTGTTGCTTCATAAAACACATTTGTGCAGTTATACCGTATGGCTTGATTCAACAAAACAAAGCTCAGTTTATATGTAAACTGTAATGAAGTGGGTTTTTTTATTCTGACAGTCAGATTATGTAGTAATGTCTTTTCTCTGGGGCGTAATAGAATTTATTGGGTGTATCCATTCCACTTGTTCCCCTTTTTTACTTTAAAAGAAGTATATTATTGTTGCTTTCATGATTTAGGTGATCACTTTTCTTTGTCATGCACAAAGGGCCAAGTATTTGAGCTGCCCTCCATTTTTGGTGTTAATAGAAAACAGTGTGTTAAATGTGCTAGTGAGGACTTCATATGCACAAGTAATATCTGTTAAAAACATTAGTAGCATCAGCGATAGTAAGGTCTGGTTTATATTACATTAAGTAAGTTTAATTAAGAGGGGAACCCATTTTTCTTGCATTCATTAATGAAAAAAGGTAGCAAAATGGTTATTTTTCTTGTTACTTTTATAATCTCGTAACTTGATAAGTAACTGAGTTACTTTTTGGACAAAGTAATCAGTAACAAGGATATACGTGTGTGTGTGTGTGTGTGTGTGTGTGTGTGTGTGTGTGTGTGTGTGTGTGTGTGTGTGTGTGTGTGTGTGTGTGTGTGTGTGTGTGTGAATGAAAAAAGTTTTTACAAACACTGAACTTCATTTTAAAATGTATGAACTGAACTTTAAACTAGTTTGTTTTTAAACGAACTTTCCCAACACTGCTAGAGCTCTTGGGTACTGAGAAACAGCCCAGGTTTATTCAATCCTGTTCCTGCTCCTGGAGGACACTGCCCTGCATGTTTTAGCTGTTCTGCTGCTCCAACACACCTGATTCAATAATTAGCATGTTCTCAAGTACTTCAGAGGCCTGTAAATCACTCATTGATTCAAACCAGTTGTGTTGGTACAATGAAAGCATGGTGGTAGTGGCCCTCGAGGAGCAGATTGTTTTCCTAAAAACTGCAATATCCCAAAAACCCAGATTACTTTGGCGTGCAGAAGAGTAAACTCAACTCTGACATTTTTAGTGCGACACTCCAGCTGCCTGAGCAAGTGCCAATAATCAGACAGCCTGCTGCAGCACAGTTCATCACTGCTAAGCAGAGGTGTGGACTCGAGTCACATGACTTGGACTAGAATCATTATTTTAATGACGTCTGACTTGATAAAAATCTATAAAGACTTACGACTTGACTCGGACTTGAACGCTAATGACTTGTGACTTGAATTGACTTGCATGTGTTGACTTGATGATGACTTGAGCATAGTTGATATTTTAGCACAAAAGTGGCACGGCATGTACAAAAATCATAAATCATTCTTGGTTCTGGGTTTGGTCTTGTTCTGCTAAACGCAGCAGCACTTTGTTTATAATCAGTTTCTGTCGCAATTTCTGCTTGGAGCAAATAAATGAAGCTTTAAGAAGCTTTATTTCTGGAATTTATTTAATATCATTGTCATTAAATTGAAGGTGGACAGATGACTTGATGATGACTTGATTTTGACTTGGACTTGACTGGAAAGACTTGGAACTTACTTGTGACTTGCAAAGCAGTGACTTGGTCATACCTCTGCTGCTAAGGACATTTACACTCTAGGTTACATCCTGTTTAAGTACGTTTACATCTGACCATGGACTCTGAGGGTTGTGTCATGTTCTGCATCCCCCTCATGTGTCTCTTGTGTCATGTGCCTCCATGTGTTCCCCATGTGCCTCCATGTGTTCCCCATGTGCCTCCATGTGTTCCCCATGTGCCTCCATGTGTTCCCCATGTGCCTCCATGTGTTCCCCATGTGCCTCCATGTGTTCCCCAGCCCCCTCCAGGTTCTCTCTGGGTTTCCCTCACGTTTCCCTTAGTCACCACACTTATCATTAGATTTCCATCATGTTTGGATCATTTAGTCAGTATCTCCCTTTGGTTCATTTTTGCTTCCTTCCCCAGTTATGTCTGGTTTCCTCCCCTGCTCCGTTAACGGACAGTTCTGCTCCTCCTCTCCTTTATTAGTCTCACCTGTGTCCAGTACCCTTAATCACCCAGCCCCTGTGTATATAACCCTGTCTGCGTCTCAGTGTGTTGTCGGTCCATTGTTTTTGAGGGGGGAACGAGCGTTGTCTCGTTCCCCCCTCTAGGTCGCTAGGTATTTGGCTTCTACTAGGCCTCTAGGTTTGTGCTCTTTAAGAGAGCTTTCATCTCCAGGATTTTTGGTCATTGGTTTATTTGGCTTCCTGCCCTCATTGGATTTATTTGGACATGTATTCCTAAATAAAGGATTTTACATTTTTTCTACCTGCCTTTGTCGTTCTGGGGTTTTCTGCATCTTGGGTCCTAACCTCCTCCTGACTCACAATGTGACAGTTTGCACAAGCATTAATGGCCAGGGAGTAAATTCTTAGGGTAGTTTAACAACCAACTTGAATTATTCAATAAATCACAGATCTGTGACATCTAAAGGAAGCAAAACTGAACGACCCCCTCCCTTTGAAACCATGTGGGAAAAGTCCAGACCAACACTTATTGTCTCAACATAGTCATTCTGTACTCAAACAATTTCAATTGTCTCAGATATTTTTCCTCCCTCTGGTGCCCAAAATATACCCATGACAGCATTTAGTTCAATGCTTGAGAGATGTTGGAATAAATCCAGTTTTGGAGGTGGGTGTTTAATTTTTATTTCTCTGTTTGTTTTCCAGCTCTAACATGTTGCTTACTTTTGCTCTGCATAAATGATGCGTTCAAATCCACACTAAAACGTGTTAATCCTACTATTGATTAGCCTGTTACCTTAATATTAACTAAATCTTAACTAATTGCTTAACCCAAACTCTAACTACGATAAACTCCAGAAATTCAAGTCATAACTGTATCTCCTAAGAACCTGTATGACGTAGCAGGTCACCTTTTGAACCCGGGAGGGACAGGAACACGTAATGGGATCTAGGTAAAAGACTAATGTCTCCGTGACCTGTCCCATTGATTTACCACGCACGTGCACACTTTCACTGTAGTAAAGATCACAAGATAAGAAGGAAATCTGGACTCTGTTCAGTGAACCTTTAGATCACATGCACATCCGTGCATGGTTAAAAAGGCTCTAATGTTATGAAAGCCAAGGTTAACATGGTTTAATTGTAATTTAAAGAATGAGTTACTTAATAGATGTGCAATCATTCAATAGCTAAACTACCTGTGTTAAAAAAATTACTTTGACTTTTGATGTTATTCTTACCATAACTTCTCAAAATTTAGTAATGATTTACCTGAAAGAGCCATGTTGGGAATGGTCAAACTAAACTTGAACTACTTCTAGTGGCATAATAACCCAGTAGGGAGCAGAGTACATGTCTCAGATTATGTACAACAAGTTTTTAAGGTAAATGTTGATCATGTAGATGAGATAGAGGTCTCAGAAATGTATGTAGCAAATATGATACTAATGGCATTATAGGGTGCAGGACCCAATCATCCAAAAATAGCCAGAAAATTCTGATATTTGGGAACGAAGATGATTATGAATCTTTATAACAAAATCCACAATATTTTTTCCATATCGTGTTGTTTATTTTATATTTTTAAATCACATTTAATACATTAGGTGTTTTTGGCTACTTTTTATAAACAAAAATGTTCATTTTAGAGAAATTCTCTATAAAATGTTGAAGTTATAGAACGTGATTTAAAGCTTTTCCTCTTTTATTCTTTTTCACTTAACACTTTTACAACCTGCTACTTAGCAGTCGAACTTGAATTGAACAGCAAAAGAGAAATCAAATAATTTTTTTCATGTAAATTCTCAAACTAAACTTGAGCTGCTTTTATATATTGATTCAATATTTGAACATGAAATATTGCAACTTTTTTTACATCTAAAACTAGATGTATATGTAAATAAAGCATAGGCATTGTTATTTCTGAGGAAGTGTTTTTGTGGAGATACTCAAAATGTATCTGAAGATAGCTTTGCAGTGAATCATTAGAATAATTAGGTCATCAAAATAGCACGTGTTTGTATTTTATTAAGTATGCAGATTAAATTACAAAATGACAATTCAGGAAAAAGCCCATTTTATACCTGCAGTACCAAATTTGATACAGACATTTCAAGTAAAATGTTTGATAGCTGAAGGTTTTTTGCCACCTTATGTCCATCGATTATCACTGAGACAACCCAGCTACAGGGTGGCACAGACAGAGGGAGAGTGTGTGTTTTTGTTCTGCAGCAGAAAGGCGTTCTCCTGCTTCAGGATGTTGCCTTTAAATCTGAAGAAGTGAGTTTCCTGTGGAGGAAACGATCACAGAATGGACAAGGCCCAGGCGAGACGCCGTGTTCCCAACATTTGTTGAGCACAGGTCACCAAAGCTGCAGAGAGGGCTGCAGACTCTGCTCAGTCTGAAGGCACTGAGAGGTGAGTGGAAACATTCTGTTTTAATCAAATGGTTTAGTCCTTCATGCACCTGCTCGGGCGGGACAAGCTCAGAGTGGTCATGTTTATCTCTTTTGCAGTTGTTGGCCTGCAGGATGGATCCAGAATGCTGAATTTTTCCACAGCTGGACCGATTTATGAATGTGACAAGATGAAGAAGACCACTGGATGATCAACATTTGCCTTAAGGGACTGAATGGTTTATCCTAATCCATGACATCATCTCCAGATGTCCATGTTGGGTGTCCACCCAACATGTCCAATGACACCTGCAACCTCCCCCTTAACACGGACGCCGTAGGGTTGACATGTATCTATGGTGTCATCTTCTCTTTGGGTCTCCCCAGTAACCTGCTATCTCTGTGGGGGCTGTACCACCTCGGCCGGTCCGGTGGGGGAGGCTGTCAGCTGGTCTTCATTCTTAACCTGCTGCTGTCAGACCTGCTCCAGCTGCTCACTCTGCCACTGTGGATCCTTTACCTGCAGGGTTCACACCGCTGGCCCTACGGCCGGCTAACCTGTGAGCTAGTTGGCTACGTGTTTTATGTGAATGTCTACGCCAGCGTCATGTTCCTTTGCCTGATCGCATTAGACCGGTGTCTAGCCATCGTCTACCCACTCAGCAGCCGCAGGGTGCGGAGGGTCAGGGTAGCGGCTGTGTTGGGTGTAGCTGTGTGGATCCTAACCTTCCTGTTTTGTCTGAGTGGTCTGCTCCCATCTGTGTTTGACTCTGACAGACTGCTGTGTCTGGAGAAGTACCCAGTCAGCCCAAGATACGCTCACTTTAAGATCATCACTGTGGTTCTAGGATTCCTGCTGCCATGTGCCATTCTAGGGTAAGTTAACTTCCAAAACTACATGCTCTATTGTCCAGATACTTCAAGTCAAGGGCCAAAATCATCACATTAAGTCTTCATAGACCACAAAAATAGAAAAATTTTAATGATTTAAATGGAAACATTATTTTATAGGACTTTTTAACTGCTAACAAGTAAGCCTTCAATGGTAAAAAATTCAAGACAAATGTTAAAAAAACATAAACGTAGATCAACAGCATCCTGAAGAGATAATGTTCTACCACACAAAACCTCTCCAAGGGCCACAAACTGCCCCTGGGCCACGTTTTGGACATGCCTAATCTAGAATAATTCCAAACACATTCATGCCAAGTTATCAGAATACATAAAAGAGGAGGGGATTCTGGCAAAGTCTTGTTTTAGGGGAGGTTGTGTGGAGTAGTGATGACTAGTCAGAATCTTATCTGCAGCAATCAGTGTTCAGGTTGTCAGAGTCAAAGTAGGACATACTAAAAGTCAATCTAACTACTTCTCAGAATCAGGTTTATAATTAAGCTCAAGCTAACTTTAGTCAAGCTAACGGATAGAGTCAAACTAGCCATTACTCAGAATCAGGCATACACTTTAAAGCTAGCTATAGCAAAGCTAACATAATTTCAATCAGGCTAACAGCTAGTTAAGTAGACACCTACTCAGGCCTAGTCCACACGTAGCTGGGGTTTTTTGAAAACGAATATCCGCCCCTCCAAAAACTTGCATCCACACCACCTCATTTTAAAACAAAACTCTGTCCACACGTACCCAGATAAATACGTTGTTAAGGACATGCCAGACCTGTAGGCGGCAGTACTTCCCCCGTTCTTAACCTCATCCTTCGTCTGTGGTCTTCCGCAAGGAGCAGTAATTCCACTTGCAAAAACAAACAAGCAAAAAGCGCTTGGACAATTGATAAAGCGAGCGCAGCTCTGAGGGCATCCATGATGCCGGCTAGTGTAAACATAGGTCGCACACGTGATGTAAGCATTTTTTGTCGTGGAAAGTGACGTTGCGGACCTTAAAACTCCGGTTTTGTCTGTCCACACGCAGACACCCAAAACGGAGAAAATGCAGATCTTCACTTTGGCCGGAGTTTTTAAAAAGATCCGTTTTCGTGTGAAAAAACTCCGTTTTCGTGTGGATGACAGGCCAAAACGTAGAAAAATATCTACGTTTTGGCAGATCCCCGGCTACGTGTGGACAGGGCCTCAGTATAAGGCTTACCTATAGTCAAGCCTAAGCTAGCTTGGGCCATTGCACGTCACATCACGCCACTCATGGGACAGCCCCCTTAGCCGTGATGGTTGGCAAAAGGACCGTTTACACACGTTGAAACTCCTGTGAAGTCAGTCAGGCCAAGCCAGTTTGTAGCCTTTTTTTCGCTTTTATTTTGTTGATTTCGCAGTAAAATGGTAAAAGTTTCCCGTGTGGTTGGCTGCACTAACAGACAATAATTTAAACTCAACTTGTTTTTTTTTTAAATAACTTTTATGGAGACCGAGGATGGAGATGAACCACAACGATCAATCAAACGGGCTAGCAGCCCTCAAAGTATTTAGAGATTTGCAGCGAACACGTTTTACCGGGTAAGATTAACGTTCATATATGTCATGAGGAAGACCGGGACTAACTGATGGACTTAAAATTATAGCTGTGATGTGTTTATATTACTTATCTAGTATTGATAATCTCATATATTTCACCTTTAATGATGTGGTGTACCATCCACTGTAGTGAACTGCGAGCCAAATATTTATAATATTGTTCAAATGTAGGATTATGTGTGTTAAAATTACGTAAATAATTTAGTATGATGAGTGTTCTCATTAACAGATTCTTTGTTTCATCCCGGTGTTAGAGTAGCATCTGAACCCAGAGACCCCGCCAGCAAAAAAGACTGGAAGGGATGCGGACATTTAATCGGCAAACGCTTTTTAATCACATAATGATATAAAACAGCGGGGTGAATTCTGGTAAAGTCAGCAACTTGTTTACATCAGTGAACAGCAGCAGGGAAAACGTAGGCTAACGTTCGTCAGCTAGTTAACACTCTCTATGAGCTCTAGCTAGGTGTGCTAAATCTTAACACAAGTGAACTAGTTTGAACCAGTAGAAACCAGGCTAAACTGGCAGGAAAAAAAAAACAAAAAAAGCAGTCATGACTTTTCTGCTCTGTTCAATACTCCCGTAAATCCCTGTTGCCTCGCCTAGCTACTTCTTCCAATAACTGGGCTTGAAGTAGTTGAAGCCATGGTAAACATCACAAAAAACAACAACAACAGAAAAACAATCTCAGGCACAACGTTTCCCTTTGTTTAGTACGTGCTGCTCACTGTACATGCTTTTGCCCTCCAGTGTGGTGGACCCATGTGATTAGGTGATGTAGGTGCAAAGGCCAATAGCCAAGCTAGCAGATAACTAACAAGTACTTGGAGTCAAACTGACACAGCTACTCAAAATCAACTTTTTCTAATAACAAAATTATTTTTGTGACAGAATATTTATAAATAGAACAAACAAGGTCACTTCTAAACAACCCTCTCTTGGGCATCAAATGATCATTTGACTAATCAGGTCTGATCTGTTTCAGGTACACTTCAGTCCACATCGGAGTGACGCTCCACAGATCACCTACTCTCTCCAACCACGAGCGCAACAAAATCGTAGGAATCCTGATGGTGATAACTTTCAACTTCATAGTTGTGTTTGGACCATACCACCTGGTGGGGGGGTACAGGTTCGTGTCCCTGCTGGGGACTGAGGAGCCATGTGGATTTGAGCAGTCCATCTTCCTGGTGTATCGGCTGTGTTATGGCTTGACCAGCCTCAACACGCTACTAGATCCCCTCTTCTACATCTTCCTGTGTCCTGATGCTCGCTTGGAGCTTCAGAGGTCCTTGTCTTGTTTGAGACCAGGTCAAAACAACAACCATAAAAACATAGGCATGAGCACCATGTCTCACCTGGACAGCCGGAGGCTGAACGGGCCAAGACATAACACCCTTGTGGCAATTTGAAGTGGGAGCAATGGCGCCACCTAGTGGGAATGCATTTCTTGTTTCTGTGCTTCCTTCTGCTTAGTTTCAATATGGCATCATATAAATTCTGCTTCAGCAGACGACATAAACCTGACTGTTAAAATCTAGTTTTGAGTGTTAAATTACGATTACACAATAAAATGTAAACTTACATCTGGCAAACGTGATCAAATCTGAGTAAATTCTAAATCACTGAGAAACAAAAACACTGAAAGATTAAACATTACTGAAAATCGTGTTTTGTCTGTGAAAATGTGGGTTACATGTTCATTTGGTAATTTATATTAAATGGGCTGTTTATTAAACTGGAACGGAAAACACAAAAATTTCACAAAAAATAAGTCAAGCATGCAATAAATCATTATGTTTGTGTTAATAAACAACTATTTTGCTTGTTATATCATGAAATTATTAAAAACAAATCGTATTTGAAGGATAAATGAGTTTATATGTCATCAATAACATTTTTAGTTTTTGCGACAAGGCATTTTTCACTCTAGACATCTAAACATGCATATTTAAATTAATAACTGATCCTAAATTTTGTTTTTTCAACAGTTATGCCTTTTAAATCGTTTTTCTTTCTTTTTATATGTTTTTGCTGTGTGAGTTGTGTTCAAGGACAGAATTGTGCATAAGCACACCGTGTGGTGGTTTAGGTGGCTGCACAGAATGAAAGTTTAGTCACAGCAAATGTTTTCTCTGGTTTCCTTCTCACTGTCTAAACCCCTGCTTGTTTGCTTGATTTTGCATCCCTGAGCATAATAAAGGTGCAAAGATAATAGAGACAAATGTGATCATCTTTAATTTTACATTTAAAAATGCATCAAAAAACAGAAGGTAATGCAAGTTAGTTTGTCTCGTATTCACGATGTTACTTGTAAGTTGATCCACATAATAAAAACATACATGTGCAAACCTAGTAAAAACACTGACTGGTTAATGGTCGGACCAAATGAGGAAATCAAACAGGAAGTACGTTTTGAATAACAAGAGTACAAATTTTGCATCACCCTGTGGGTTTTCAGTCTAGATCCTACATTGTTACATAAACACCCAACATGAAACTAGATGCTTCTCAGCCAAAAGAGTAAAAAAAAATCCAACAAGCAGTTGTTTCTCAATAAAAGCCTCAGAATCATGCATGCATGTTATTATAACAACAAGAAGCTCTAATAATATGACTGAACGTATCACAATCTGACAGAAATTTGCATTGCAACATTCTCACAGAAACACACTTGACATGAGTCAAATGCACAAACTGCATGCCACTGATTATAGATGTGTGTATTGGCAAGACGGATCTGGTTAAATGAATTATATCACAGTTTAGGAGTGACTGACATATATATAACATCGACATATAAAAAGGATGGACAAACCTCGCCCATTGCTTTCTGGGGGCAGGTTTGAAGCCAAATGGGAGGTTCCCACCACCATCGGTTTGGCCATCTCACACACCTCATCATGCCCAGACAATCCAAAGATGGGAAAAGAGGTGGAGCTGAGGGTGGGGCTGTTACAGTTGGAACAAATGAACCAATGTAGCTGACTTAAGTAACCCAAGAAGCCAAGAAGGAGCTCCGGAGTGGCCCACCTGCGCGGCCACCGTGCTTTTGTGAGAGGCTGTGGTCATGCTGGTAGCTTGTGGAGCTTGAATACGGACTGTTAAAATAAAAGCAGAGCCTCAGACCGCTCCGATCAGAGCTGGGTGCCCTGGCTGCTTACGTGATAAAATGTTCCGCCTCGGTCAGAGGTCAGCGGGAGATTAGCTACGTGTTAACTCAAGCTAACGGAGGTTTTCACGGGAGCTATTGGTGAGAGAAACGCGGTAAAGCGACGCCAAAATCAACTGAAAGCGCAGCGGTGTTTCTGTAAACTCCCTCAGAGCAGCACAACTAAAACCTAGCATGGACGCCAGGCAGATGCACGGCGCATCTGGGCCCCCAGGGAGGATGGGAACTTGTGGTCGCCTGTGTGTAGCAGCTGTTGCCAGCTGAGAGGCAGGAGGGGCTGGGTGCCCGCCTTGTTGGGCTTCCTTTGCAAGGATGAAGCAACAGATTTGTGGATTTCTGATCTCAAGTCTGCAGCTGTGCTGTTAAAGGGAGAGGCACGTTCCCGAAACTCAGCAAACCTCTCTGCAAGCGGTGACCACGCAAAACTTTGATCACAGTAGAGCAGCCCTACCCAGTCAGCCAGCCCCACCAACACGTTATATTTCAACCCATCGAGCAAGCAGCATTTCCCCCCATTCAACCAGCGAAATAAAGTTCAGAAATATAATTTTACAGTCAATAACCACAGCTTGTCCTGTTTTTCTAAATATATCCATGATTAACATCAAAACACAGAGAACACGACTAAAGTACAGCAAGTGGAAATAGCCAAACATTCATCTATTAACATGAGGCTGAGGCCTTTCCCTGGAGCTTGCTCCCAGTGATGTGGCTCTGACGCTCATTAATTGTTCTGAATTTTAAGAATTTCATTCCACTTAAACAGAAGAGTTACAAAGAAATCACCCCCCTCAGAGTCGTCACGAATGTCAACTACATCTATTAAACCTATAATGTATTTTTAACCAGGCTGTAAACCTATCCATTTCTGCTGTGAAGTTGTCATTTTTTAACATGGGAGTCAATGAGGATTTGATCACTTCTGGTGCCAGCCCCCTAGTGGATGAGGGTGGAACTGCAATTTTTGCCACTTCTTCCTTTTGGCTTCAAAAAATTCCCAGGATTGTGAGGGCCTGATATATAATAGTCACTCCTATATACATAGAGCAATATAGAGGTGAATAAGAGATGTATCACAGGATAGGAGAAACAACAGGACATACATCACAATACAGGGGAGATATGATATAAATCACAATCTTGTCAATGGACCTTGCTCCAAAATTAACTTTTGCCTTCTTTAGACGTTTTTGATCTACATTTCACACAGGTTCATGTGAGATTTGAGCTGTTTTAAGATAGCAGCAGTTTGCTTTGGACCATATTTAAGAGAAACAAAAACATCTAGTCAAGAGGGACCCAACTCCAGTGAGTGATGCTGCCATCTCAAAACTGTTCCAATGTCTCCGGGATGAACCAGAGGAGCTGCCACTTTGCTGTTGGTGATATTTAATAACCAATGTAATTAACTTTGAGGTTAAAAGTTTTTAAAATAATTGTGCAAGATGCCAGCAATCAGCTGGGGGCATGACTAGCCATTGGCTCATCAATCCTGAGAGATGTACACTCAAACAACAAAAAACTTTCTATATTTATTTACTTCAGAACTAAAGCTGTAGAACAGCTTTTCTTCCTCACCATAAGCTCAGAGTTACTGAGGGAGCTGCGGGCAGTGCTACGCCGCCTGGACAGCTCTCCCAGATCTTCTGCCATGACGCTCTCCATCACCGCTCCGAGAGACTGGCGGATCTTGTTACACAGGTCGGGGCAGCTGAACACGTACAGGACGGGGTTGATGGTGCTGTTCAGAAAGCCGATTGTTGTTGCAGTTGGAAGAGCTCCAGAGGCAAACTTCTGTGTAGGACTGCCTTTTGGTGCCAGCACCTCCAAGATGATGAAGAGATGGTAGGGAGCCCAGCAGAGGACAAAGACCACCACCACGGTCACCACAAGCCGAACAAAACGAAAAGGCCGCCGGCTGCCTCTACGCGCCAAGCTTTGGCTCACGGTTACATAGCCGATGATGATGATGGTGAGGGGGATCAGGAAGCCTAGAAGAAGCTTCATGAAAGCCAAGCCCTCTTTGCGCTGTTTGCACAAAGCTTTCAGGTCGTACGGCTCTTTGGGGAGGAATCTGGCGTAGTTGTAGTAGCAGAAAACCTTACCAGGGCCTCCAGGAATGGCATCACGGAACATGTAAAACGGAATAGTGCAGACCACAGCACAGGTCCAAATCACCCAGCATACATTCCTCACCACCTGGATGCTTCTGTGGTTCTGGGTCCAGACTGGTTTCACCACCACCAGGCAGCGATCCAGGGAAATGGCCGCCAGTAGGAAGGCACTGACAAACATGTTGAGGAAAAAAATGGAGGAGTAGATGCGGCAGAAGGTCGGGCCCAACGTCCAGGTCATCCCACGGGCCATGTAGAGGGTGAAGAAGGGAAGGAAGGCCGTGGCCAGCAGGTCCGACGCCGCCAGATTCAGGATCCAGACGCTGATGATGGAGCGACGGACACGGAAACCCACAATTGCAAGGATGAGGAGGTTTTCCACAATGCCAACGGTGGAGACTATCCCATGGAGGGAGATTTTAACATAATCTTGGGAGCTCAGCTTTACCACATGGTGTGTTTGGTTTGTGGAGAAGTTTGTGTGGCTGACAGCATGTTGGCAAGACATCTCCAAGTAGAAAACGTTAGTTTTAGTTTACGGAAAAAATCGTCTTAATGCAGGAATCTGAAACAAAAACACAACCATCATTTATTTAAATTCTGCATCTACTTATTAACGACGCTTTGCTTTGAGTTCAGTCACCAAAACTACATCAAAAGGTTTTGGGCTTTCCTTGAACATTTATCTAATTTTATCACTGGTTTATCGCACTATAACTGAATAAATGAAGCGTTATTGTGATCTGCTGCCTCCAGAAGAAGTGTTTTTGGGTTTGAGATTGGTCCGATGAGACAGACGTACAGGTGATGCAGACAGAACTTAGAATATTGTACAAGATTTCATTCTTTTCAGCAAAAGGAGCCCAAACCAGTAATAAGTACATATGCATGATCATACTTTTTCAGAGCTAGGACCTTTTCTCCATTTAAAATCCTTATTTTATTGATTTGATGTAATATTCTAATTGTCTGAGATGTTGGTTTTAGGCTGTAAGCCATAATAATCACAAGTATAACAAACTGCTTGAAACATGCGAGTTTGCATTTAATGACTTCATAGTTTCACCTTTGAATTACTGACATAAATGAACTTTTGCTACGTATGTTTTTTACCTTCACGTGTAAGTGGGGTCAAGCCTGGGTTAATTTATTTCCCACAAGAATTTCATCAAGTTAACTTCTGTTCGACATTTTTTATGTTAGATTGACCAAAATTAGCAAACTGCAATTTCTTGTCCATTTATACCCCATATATCCCATAATACTTATGCAAAAATAGAGGGTTTCTATGGTAACCTTTTTTGCAGCAATTTATCTATAGACGTTTTACAGGCCATATTAATTTTTAATGAGGAGGTTGTCAGAATGGCAACACTTTACAATAAGGGTCCCTTTGCTAACATTACTTAGTGCATTATTAATCATTAATAAACTATTAAATCAACTGCTCAACCATATTTTGTAATGCACTAAGAAGACACCCCCACACGGCACTTTGTCCTAAATTTAAGGGACCTTTATTGTAACATGTTACCAAAAGATTTTATATTTTTTTAATTGTGACAAGAAAAGCTACATCAAGAACATCCTCAAAAACATTTCCTGACACTGATATTAACAAATTTTATCCTAAAACTGGGGAAAATATGAAAAAACAGAATTTCTGCAGACAGAGATGCTTCTGTGTGCAGTTTCATGCCACGGCACCAGTTTTATCTCTCGGTCCCCAAATCCTTAAGGTAAGTGGTTTTTCAATCTAATTGTTTCAGTCTTAGTTTCAAAAACAACTATGTCGAAATAGATAGATAAATAAATAAATGTGAACAGATGTGTCATTTAACAGAATTCAAAGAGGTTGCCTAAATAAAAGAAAGAAGGTGCTAACCCTTAATAGTTTTATGCAAACTAAAAATTCATCTCATGCTCCAGGATACTGGATTTTTTTTCACTAATAAAACAAAATAACTGAAAACTTAGTTTGAACTTCTAGTTTTATACCCGACTTTTCTCTTGTAACAACTAAAATGTGTTGACTTACTCGTCCCTTTTAACTGATAAGATGTCCTCTAGAGAAAAGAAGCTGGTAGCTGCAGCTTTGTGTTGACAGCAATAGGAAGTCCTCAAGAGGAACCCCGATATTCAGCTCAGTTGTTGAAAGAGTAATGACAAATGAGTGCCAGGTCCTAAAAGCACGGGTATCCATGCAAAGATGTGGGTTGATCTTTTATAATAATCAAACTTCTGTTCTGGTTTGTCTTGTGTGGTTTTTTTTTAGCTGGTGAAACTAATCTGAAGTCTCTTTGGGATTCATTGCTAGCTGGTCTTCTTTCACACCATCTGGGTGATTTTTATTTTTTTTTTTTTTTTTCAAATAAGCTGCACATAAAAAAACTGGTGCAACTTTTACAAAAAAAATGCAAAGTAGGCCTATCTTTTGGAAATTATGTTTCATTTACTTATTAAAGAAGAGTGATATTTCTTTAATACTGGTGTTTCAAAAACAACAGTGGTTGGTTACCAAAGGGAAAGATGACTCATCACTCAGGTGTTGCTGAAGTTGTGATTAGAACTGACCTCTGCAAAACTTTGTGAAGTTTCCATTTCAACACCCAACAAGTAGAACGAGATGAGCTCACCTTTACTTAGAATTAATGCTGTGTTGTTTCCAAATGCAGGTAGCAGCATTAGAACCAACAATAAAGCAAAGGGAGGTTTTTCAAAATGAGTTATGTCCTTTATTTGTGATGTGTCATTACAATGACTCATTATCTTTTGGTGAATCTCATTCAGTTCTCTGTGGTTGATCTGAGGTTCCATATGGCTCACTGATGTGAAACACAACATATGTTTCCCAACTCAACCCTTAACTTACATTATATTGCACTTTGCACACAGCTTTATTAACAGAGTGCTACAATTAAAATTTATGTAGAGCAAAATAAAAACACTATAAAATGTGCAAATGCAGCTCATTCTATAATTTAGGTGCCACCACTGCAAAGGCTCGATTTGCATTTAGATCAGCTGTAAATCCTTGGTCGTAGTCAGAATAATAGTAATAATGACCATCTCACTTTGTAAAGTAAAATAAACCATTGCTGAACTTCAAATGTTTAAAATGCTGTGTTGAGGTGCCTAATGTGTGTGTTTTTTCGCTTCCTGATTTAAAAATGTCTTGATGAGAACTTTGAAAACATCAAACCACAGAATTCACATCTCCTTTATAAAACTCCTCGGCAGCTGATTTTAGACAGATGAAGCACGTACACCTTTCAAAGGGTTTCTTGTAAGAAGTCTTGAGAGTTGTGTATCATTGGATCAGCAGCTAGGGCTGTGTGGCGTTTTCATATACTGATAACTTAGCTCATTGTAGACTAGTGTTGCAAATTCCCATCAAACTACTTCTGGCCTTAAAACATCCAGATGGAGCATCAGGATTAGTACCTTCATCACCTTCCATTTCGGTCTGCTGCCCTCTGGTGGAGGATCTACAGGTGGAAAAGGCCAATTCTTTTTCTTCATTCCTGTTATTTTGTTAAAAAATTACATAATGTAATATTAGTGTCATAACCATAGCGCCCAATGAAGGAATGCATATCACTGCATGGCGCTCCTTTCACGTCATCTTACGTTAAAGCTGAGTTTTCCACCTTTGAGAAATTAAGATTTTTCATAAATCCATAAAAGTGAGTCTGTCATTTAATTTCAGCAGTTTATCTTTTTCTCTCTCTCTTTGCTATGAAGTGCTGCTCAGCATTAGCCAATAGCGTTGGACATCAGCTTATGTACAGATGTCAGTCATAGAGTGTGTATGTTTGCAGATGTACCCAGACAGACGCAAAGTGGGCAACACTATACAAGGAAAAATTTAAAATGTAAAAATAAACATAATAACATGAGAATAGGAATTGTAAAACATTGTGTTTTAGCTCCTTTTTGCCAGTTAGAGGTACAAGCTCACAAAAGAGGGGCGTTGCTTCCAGTTGTAGTCTCGGAAGCAGGGAGAGGGTCTTAAGGTGAAATACATTTCGCTAGATGGTGCTTTCTGAGAAGAAACACTCTAGATTTCTGCTTTAGGAAATGGTGAATTAATTGCCATTTTGATCAGACCTTGCAACTAATATTCAGCCAAATCTTGTGGCATATTGCAAAATTTAGTGCAATCTGTTAACACTCAGAATGTGTGTTGTTAGTTACTCTAAGCTTGTTGCATGTCAGATTTTAGCTTAAAATGTGTAGAATCGACTGAGTTGTAGCCATATTTCGGTTGTTAATGGTAACTAGCTGTGGTAGACACGTGGAATTTAATCAGTTCCAAAACTAGCTTCCAGTGATTACTTAGAGAGCTTTATTAAAATTTGTTGGGTGATTTTTATTTTAGATATTTTAAACTAAAGGTAAATATTGAAATACAAATCTTGCACAACCAACGTCACCTACATGTTGTTATGACTCTCAGCTAACATCCACCAAACTGTGGCTCAATATCTGTGGTTGACTGGTTTAGCCTGTTAGCTAACACTGATTAGCTGTGGCAGCCATTGCTAAAGGTTTAGCATGTTTTTAGCATTTAGGTTGACACTCCTAGCATTACTGCAGCGGGAAAAGAAAAGAGGAAGGTGAATAAGGTTATGTGGTAGAAAGCAATGAGTTTGTGTTTTCTCAGCAGAACTTCACCAGCAAACTTTTATTTTAAAACTTTGTGCAGTAAGCAAGGCTGTTCTGACTGCATTCTGACACAAAAGTGTCCAGAAATACAAAACCTGATAACTTGGGAGGGCAAGCGAAGCAAAAGTTACCAATCCTGAGTGAGATTAGTCACATGGTCAGATCTAATTGGCTAATGCTGCTGGGGCGCTTCCATAGGACTGAGAACAAGCCTTATGTGGGTATGGTCACTGACACCTGCTGATTCCAATGTTGTTATGCATCAGAGCACATCTTCACATTAGCACAAAACTGTTTTTATGTGTTTATATTGTGAGTTTAAAACATAAGATTAAAGCTGATTGTGACGTTTGATTAAAGTGAGGACGTTTGAACTTCTGCTTTTCGTTGGGATCGTTCATTTTTATTCTTGTAAGGACGACTGTGTGTCTGTCGGTTACACGATGTTTAGCAACATTTCACCACTTCGCCTTTTTTTAACAAACTTGCAAGTTCCAATAATCTGTCGAGTCTTAAAACCGCTGAATGTGACGTTGGTTCCTTTTAAGTTTCAGCAAAGTAGAGTGAACCTGGAAAGAGGTTAACCTTGTTTGTGGCTGGTGTACTGTAGCTGGTTGAAGCTGACACCTTTACAGGATGTGACTGAGAATTTATTTCTGAGTGCAGGATAGAAAAGGTACTACATCAATGAATAAGACTTTTTAGATGGTTTATTTCCTTTTAACTAGGAACATCCAAGGTACTTTATCATTTAAAAAATCCAAGACTCCAGTCTCCCACCATAAAATCCCTACGTATGTAAATGTATCTATTAAAGACTCTGAAATATCATATATTATAAAATTATGTTCTAATATAGTCAGTTCTAGACTATTTTTATGTCAGTAGGGGAAATTAATGTGAAATGCCTTATGCCAGCGCTCTTGCATTGCAAAGTGCAAACATCCTTCTGTGTTGTGGAGAAATTTTTATTTTACTGATTAAATTTCAATCAATCAATCAAAGCTTTATTTATAAAGCGCCTTCCAGAACCCTGTCAGGAAGCCCAAGGCGCTGAAAATTTGGATCTGTATGTTTTGGGTGTTGTGGTGTTTGATTTTCTAAGGAAAAGAAAGCAGGCAGACGAGTCCATGGGTGGTGTTAGGACTATTCTAAGGGCCCATGACTGACAATGACCGTCCCCCTCTCTACTGTCCACTCCTTGTTCCCTCCTCTCCTTGATTCATCATGCTGCCTCACTGCCACCTACGACTGACTGGAAATTGTTTGTTTTTGTTGTTGTTATTATTGTTGTTGTTAGCCTCAAGTAAAACAATGTTGATTTTATATTTCTTCATCAGGATGACGCAGTGATAACTTGCTTTTGTAATGTTGTGTGTCCTTTTTTTGTTTATCTTTCTCTTTCTGCAGGTCTAGAGGCAGACTCTTGTTCATTATTGATTGTTTATTTTTGTAGACTCAGAGACTCTCTTGATCAGCTTGCTACTCACACCAAACACTCTGTCAGGAATCTTGACGTGACCTTTGACCCAGCTCTCACCCTGGATTCTCATGTCAGTTCTCTTGTTCGCTCTTCCTTCTTCCATCTCAGGAACGTTGCTAAGCTGTGTCCCATTCTGTCCCGCTCTGAACTTGAGACAGTTATCCACACCTTCATCTCCTCACGCTTAGACTACTGCAACTCTCTTTTCACTCTGGAACTCCCTACCCCTGAGCCTGAGATAGTGGACTCAGTGGTCTCCTTTAAAAAACTGCTGAAAACTTACCTGTTCAAGCAGGCTTTTGTGTGACCTTTATCATCACCCTTTCCTTATTCCGCCTTTCCCGGGATCCACTGATTTCCCTCTTTCTTATTAATTTTCTCTCTCCCTTTACTTACATTTCCTTACGCCTCTGTCAGTGCGCCCCAGAGCAGCTGTGGCTACACTGTAGCTCATCACCATCAGTGTGTGAATGTGTGTGTGAATGGATGAACGATACACTGTGGTGTAAAGCGCTTTGAAGTCCTTACTCTGAGAGGCGCTATACAAGTGCGGGTTATTTATCATCATAATTTGTATGTTTTTATCATTTTAAACATAATTTTAATCGTTTTTTTAAATCTTTTTTTATACTTTAATTGAAGTTTGTTTCTGTTTATGTGAAGCGCCTTGTGATTTTTATCTTGAGGTTCCTAAAATAAAACAATAAAACAATGAAATAGTGGGGATGGGAACCTCCCATTTGAAAACAAAATCTTAGATTTTGAGCCTATGAACATTATTTGTCCATATATGTTGATGCTCTATACTGAAGGAGAGATACTGCCATCACTCCGTGCACTTGGTCATCGTGCACTTTTCCAACACGGCAATGATCCAAAACACACATCTAAAGCTACTGTTGCATTTCTGAAGAAGAACAGGGTGAAGGTGGTTGAATAGCCAAGGCTGTGTCCTGATCTGAACCCAATCGAACATCTGTGGGGAGTTCTGAAGGAGCAAGTTGAGTATCACTCTCCATCCATCATCCAGGCTCAAAAAGAGGTTATTCTTGTAATCAAGTACCATTTATAAGCTCCTCGTTCATGTTTTGGCAGTTGGGTTTGTGCTGTAGAACCGTTCCGCATCGTAATGTCTGTTGTAAAGTACTTCAAAATGTTGTAAACAGCTGCGCCACGCTGCTTGAAATAGAACTGGCCCCTATCTTCAGCGCCTCTGTTCAGACCAGCGTTTCTGGGACGTGGTGTTGCGCTCCCCGTGTAGCCACTCTCAGTAACTATAATGGCTTCTTTTAAAAATGACAGCGCAGGCGTGACCCCTTCCAGATGACCAAGCTTCTCACCCTATCTCTAAGGGAGAGCCCAGACACCCTGTGGAGAAAACTAATTTTGGCCGCTTGTATCCGCGACCTTGTTCTTTTGGTCACTGCCCAAAGCTTGTGACCATAGGTGAGGGTGGGAACGTAGATCCACTGGTAAATCGAGAGCTTCGCCTTACGGCTCAGCTCTCCTTCCTCCACAACAGATCTGTACAACGCCCACATCACTGCAGATGCAGCACCAATCCGCCTATCGATCTCCCGCTCCAGCTTTCCCTCACTCATGAAAAAGACCCTGAGATACTTAAAGTCCTCCTTGGGGAAGGACCTCATCCCTCAAGACCATGGTCTCAGATTTAGAGTAGCAGATTCTCATCCATTCTGTTTTACACTCAGCTGCAACCCGCTCCAGCGAAAGCCGAAAATCACGTTCTGTTGAGGCCAACAGGACCACATCATCTGTAAAAAGCAGAGACTTGATCCTCAGGCCACCAAAACAGATCCCCTCAACACCTTGAACTCCGCGACCACTCAAGCTGCATTCCGCTTGGACTGCCGATACCTATCAGCTGCCTGCCTCTGAAGTCCCACAGGCCAAAAAAGACCTGATAGAACTCTTTCTTCAGCTTGACGGCATCCCTAACTGCTGGTGTCCACAAAGACCACTTTAAGGTTTTTGTTTCTTCAGCTTTCCATGAACGCACATCTTGTTTGGCTTTTTTCCCCATGATCAAATAATATGAAGTAGAATTACAAGGTTTTCACTAATGTGTTGGTTTGTCCTTCAAAGAGACCTCTGCAGTTGACCCTTGACATGCTGTCAAACAACCTGTAGTTTAAATCTTAGCTGATGGAGCGGTTTCTCTTCATCAGTACTTTGCATTTGTGGGGTTAAGTTTAATCTTGTTTCTTGATGGTTGACCAGATAAAGGTTTGTGGAGTCTCCTGGAACCAATGTTCGAGTGTTTTTGCCCCAAAGCCCATTAGGTCTGATTTTACCCTTCTGGCCCGGTGCTGTGCTCCATCATCCTGGAGAAGACATTGGCTGGAGGAGTTCCTCTGGGAGGATGTTTTGGTACCATTCTATATTCAGGCTCAACTGTTGCCGAGTCCATTTCCACAGCTCCGTAACAAGTATAACCAAAGGTGTCAGAAAGGGTTATAGTTATGGCAGTTCTACAAGATCCATTTGTAAAGTTACCCCACTCTTATCTTGGTGGTCCAGTTTGTGACATCACTTCCTCTAGTCTAGATAGTCACTTCCTGTAAAGCCGTTTCTACCATTTTGTCCAAGCTGTTGGTGATGGCAGACAGCCTCGTGTGCGTTCATGACTGACATGTAAGTTTGGTCAACCGTAGCACCTCTATGGATACATAAATAACCTATAAGTTCATTCAGTATCCTTTATGTCTGTCTGAACATATTGTTTGGATTATTTAGAGGGAGTTCCTACAGTTTAATTGGTATCAGTTGCTATTCTCGCTTGTAGTCCTCATTTCACTTCTCTTAATTTGTGTTATGTGTGCTAAATACTGGTTTATGTGTATTATTCCATTTACTCCATGTGTATCCATCCATGACGTCAGTTCAGTTGAGGTGTGGTATAATGCCAGGCTAATTGGCAGCATGGTTTAGTAGTGTGGTACTTGCAACAGCAGTACCTTGGTTTGACCACCAGAGGTCCCTGGAGACCATATAATTTGTCAGTGCCTCTGAGGCTGGAAGTCACAATATTTACTCTGTGTAACCCTTGAATGTGCATCATTTGGGAATATATTTGTTTTTGCATAGTCTTTAACGTTTGCATATTTATTCCACCATTTGTACAGTCCTTTTACATCATTCTTTGTATTTATTTTCCAGACCACACAGAACCACAGAAATGTACAGATGTCCATACTTCAACTGTCATTAAATACGTAAAACTGTCTCTCCGTGCCCTGCTCTCTGACCGGAGCCCTTATCTTGAAGATACTGTCAGATCAGCAAATAACTTCCAGAGTTCCCACTCTATCACAAAAGGTTTAATTTATTCATGTCTAAAAATGATTTCTGTTCATTCGTCTGCTTTTTTTTAAAACTTTTTATTAACTTTCGTATGTTTTTTTTATTACATAAGCACCATGTTAAAACCAAATGTGGATTCTCTTGTTTATTTGGTTCAGAAACATCAAATCTGCACGTCCACACCAAAATGTTACAAAATACAATTTTATTGACACATAATTTTACAATTCTTCATAAAAGATTCAAAACTCCTGAAATATAGCAGCAACACAAAAATATCCATAATTATCTTCAGCTGTTTCAGAATGAATCTGTGAAGTTTAACCGAAGAGACAGGTTAAATATTCTAAATGAGAGAAATGATCAGATGTTGTTGGCGAGTCGGGCTCAAGAAAGGGCTCCTTGAGTACAGTAGAGCTGATAAACTGTTCTGCTCAGAGCTGGACCCAGATTCCTGCAAAAAGAGACCAGAACAGTCATTCTGAGTTTTTTTTATTGGTTACTTCGGTCGTAAGACTTGGGTACAGAATAAGTTTAATAAATTAGAAAAAGTTCAAATAAAACATAAAAACATGAGGAAAATCCCCATGCGTTTTCAAACCAGGTGGTGTTTGTTATAACTATTTCACAATAAAAGCTTCATTAGGGGTGTAACAAACCTTTTGAGTTTCCCACATCGGATGTTGGAGAGGAGTTTCTCTTTCTCTGATTCAGATGAACACGCTTCGTAAGCTGCAAGAAGACTGGAAAAGATCATATTTTACATCTATTAAAGCAGAGTGTAGCTCAGCTGATCGCATGTAAAGTTTTGTTTTCTTCTTTTACCCTAAGGAGACTTTGCCTCCCCCTGCTGGTTAATCTGCAGCATGATCCTTGATCTCTGTCCTAATTGTTTTTATGTCAGTAAAACCATTCTTCAGGTTTAGAGCGTTTGCTGAACTGGTTTACCTGTGTGGGGTGCTGTAGCGCTCCAGTATAGCAGCAGCTTTGTCTCCAGACAAGCCGCTAATCTGCATCAGCTGTCGGGCAAACACCTCTCTCACCGTCTGACACTACGGAGGGAGGAAAAAGGCGAACTAGGATCAGAATGTTCACAGAAACATTTCACTCATGAAGATCTTCACCTTGTTCTTCACGGCTCCGTAGTTGAACTCAGCAAAAGAAATGAGAGAACAGGAAGGAGTCCCTCTCCCATCTTCCTTCCCCACTACATCCCCCTCCAGCTCTCTGGAGCGACAGATCAGCGTCTGGTTCTGAAGAGAGTTCGGAAAAGCAGATTGGATCATTTCTCAAGTCTTCAATGATGCATCAGGGCTGATGTGTGAAAATAAATCAGTAAATATGTTTAAAAACAAAGAAATGAGGGGAAACGTGGCTTCTTTCAGATCAGAAAGTCATAAAATGGTAAAATTGTTTTGCTATTATGAAATGAAGTGCAACTGTTTTTAATCCAAATTACTGAAATTAGATGCATAAATAATCTAAAAAGGCGTCTAATAAGGAAACATGATGTCTTGCTCTAATTCCTGGTGAAAGGAGAGGTCTGCTTTTATTTTGAAAGGATCCGATAAAAGATTTCCTAATCCTGTGATGTGAGAAAAGCTGATGTGACGTTCGTTACTCAATAAATGACACCTTTAAGGCCAAACCAGAACACCCTTTCATAATAAAAGCTTACACATAGAAAACATAGTGCGATCAAAGTGAGCTCCTAAGCGATGCTTTTCCAGGTCTGCCCACGGAATCGTTTAGTCATCTCTGGGAGGTTTACCACTTTTACCCACAAAATGTAAAACTTCCCCTCATCTGACTTTTTCCACTGAAGTAAAAGAGCTCACTGAGACGGTTCTACCTGGTAGAGCTTGGTGAGGAACCGGGTCATGATGGTGAGGTAGGCGGCCGACTCACGCACATCCTGGACTCTCTTCACAAAGAACCCATCGACTATCTAAGACAAAGAAACAGACAGCAGAATAAAACAGAATCCTTATTTATCTGGATTTTAAAAATGACGATAAGACACTCGTACCTGTGTGTTGACGATGGCCTGCTGCAGCGTCTTTTCAGGTAAACTCAGGTGAGAGGCAGAAGCCCCGCCCCCTTCCACTAAATAGATAGGCTTCCTGAGACCACACCTCTTCAGCCGGAACTGATATGAGAGAAATGTTTCAATTACAACCAAATCCTGTCTGATTGACTCACTTTCTGCTTAAAGACTTTTATTTTGTAAACACTTTAAACAGATTTTAACACAGAATAACAAAATAAAAAGGCGAGCGACCTTCTGTTCCCTGAAGCGCCCGTCGATGATGCTCCCGCACAGGTCGTCCATCCTCTTCCTCTCGATGATGTAATCCAGCACCAGCTCCCTGCCTGCAGGAGGTCTCAGCTGACCTGAAACAGAGCATTATGGGATTGTTCTCATGTCCATTAACCCTGAACTCTGCTGCAGCTTCACTCTAACAGATTCTAGAGCAGCGTTTTCCTTCTGAAGGGTTCTAGAGACTCTCAAATTTCCTACTGAGACTCAGTCATGAGAGGGGGCACACCATATACTGCTCACAAAAGTTAAAGGAACACTTTAAAGAAACACATTAGATACATCAGATCTCCGTATCAAGTTGGATATCTATACAAATAACGACAGGGCAATGTCTTAGGAACAAAAGGATGCCAAGTCTTTTAATGGAAATAAAAGGTATCAGCCTGCAGATGGCTCTTATTGTGTAGACACCCTAAAATCAGAGTGAAATGAAGATGTGGCAGGCTAGTCCGTTATTTCAAAAACTTAATTTCTGCAGCTCAAATTGCTTTTCAGTATCTTGTGTGGCCCCCACGAGCTTGTGTGCATGCTTGACAACGTCGGGGCATGCATCTAATGAGACAACGGACGGTGTCTTGTGGCATTTCCTCCCAGATCTGTGTGAGGGCATCCCTGAGCTCTTGTACAGTCTGAGGAGAAACCTGGCGCCGCCTAATGGACCGAAACATAATGTCCCACAGATGTTCTGTTGGGTTTAAGTCAGGGGACCGTGAAGAACATTCAATTGTTTCAATTCCTTCATCCTCCAGGTACTGCCTGCATACTCTTGCCACATGAGGCCGGGCGTTGTCATGCATCAGGAGAAAACCAGGACCTGCTGCATCAGCGTAGGGTCTGACAAAGGGTACAAGGACTTCATCTCGATACCTTATGGCAGTCAGAGCACCATAGAGATCTGTGCGTCCCTCCATGGATATGCCTCCCCAGACCATCACTGACCCACCACCAAACCTGTCATGTTGAACGATGCTGCAGGCAGCATAACGTTCTCCTTGTCTTCTCCAGACTCTTTCACGTCTATCACAGGTGCTCAGGGTGAACCTGCTCTCGTCTGTAAAAAGTACAGGGCGCCAGGGGCGGACTTGCCAATTCTGGTGTTCTTGAGCAAATGCCAGTCGAGCTCTACGGTGCTGGGCTGTGAGCACAGGGCCCACTACAGGACGTCGGGCCCTCAGGCCATCTTCCTGAAGTCTGTTCCTGATTGTGTGGGTAGAGACATTCACACCAGTGGCCCTCTGGAGGTCATCCTGTAGGGCACGAGCATTGCTCAGCCTGTTCCGCCTTGCACAAAGGAGCAGGTATCGGTCCTGCTGATGGGTTGTGGACCTTCTACGGCGCTGTCCAGCTCTCCGAGAATAACCGCCAGGCTCCTGAAATCTCCTCCATGTTCTGGAGATTGTGCTGGGAGACGCATGAAACCTTCTTGCTGCAGCACGTGTGGATGTGCCGTCCTGGAGAAGTTGGACAACCTGTGCAACTTCTGTAGGGTTAAGGAATCGCCTCATGCTGCCAGCAGAGAGCCAAAGCCAGCACGAGTGGAAAACCAGCCGAAACAGATCAAGAGGGAGAAACTTGAAATGACCTCTGCATGTTAAACCAGTCCTGTTTGGAGGGTTTTGTAGTTGCTGCCACTTTAGCGCACCTGTCGTTAAGTCCATGAACACCAATACAGCTGAAAGTGATCAACAATGCCCTCAGCTGCTTAATCAGCCAGGAAATTATCAGACAGGTTTAATTGATTTCATGCCAGGCCCAATTAAAACGTGTTCCTTTAATTCTTGTCAGCAGTGTATATTGGTATCGGAAATTAGGAGTGAAACAATATTGGTAAAAATGCCAATATGGAGCATCCCTAGTTCCAAACCATTGCCTGAGAGAGCTTTAGTTCCTGATCCAGAGGAAGAACCATCAGTGATGCAACCTTCATGACATTTGCTCCAGCAGAAAAACGAGTTTCTCCTTGTAAAAGTAACCACCAGTGTGACGAGGATGGGATTCCTGGTGTTCCGATGCTCTGAGAGCCACAGCTGGAGCGTCGACCTGAGTGTGCTTGTCTGGATTTTGGGCAGGTGCAGGGACACATATTACCTGGAACAGGTGTGACCTTTTCCCGGGCCACCCACAGGAAGTCTCCAACGTTCAGCTTCCTGATGTCGAAGGCGACCCCGTTCCTCTGGAGCTCCTTGACCAGCTCATGTTTGCGGTGATGGCTGCCGCTGCACAAACAACCCAAAAGGTACGGAGGTCAATGAGGGACAAGCAGTCTGCGCATCAATGTGTGGAGACACGTCTCTGTCTCACCCGGTGGTCTCGACGAAGTCCACGCACAGGATGATGTCATAGCTTCCAGGTAGGAGACGTTCTCTGTTGGGATTCTCTGATGAACACGTCCCACCTGGGTCTCTCCTCTCTGGAAGACTCTGAATGTCCTCGCCTTCATCGCTACACGTCAGATCAACAACCCCTTCCTTCTCCTCCTCAGGATTCCCTCCTCCTCTCCCGTCCACCTCTGGGACGTTTGTCATCTCCGGCTCCAGCAACGACAGCCGCTCAGCCAAATCCAGACCTTCTGAGGTCAGAGAATACCTGAAACAGAAGCAGGAGGTCGGACACCTTTTCTCACCGCAGCAGCGGGACAAAGACGGATCTGAACCTTGCAGGATTGTGAGTCTTCATCAGCAGGTTCTTGTGGATCAGCGTGCTGACAGTCGACCAGGCCGTGTACTTACAGCCCAGATCTGGCTGTGGACAGAAGGGAGGAGTCAGGCGCAAGCCTGCAGCAGGAAGGACGACATGGGAGGATGGGACACCTACCACAGTGAAGGACTTGTCACAGAAATGCTGAGCTTCTGCCTGCAGCTCCATCTTCAACATGTAACCTTTGTTCCCTGGAATCTGAAGACAGGAAGAGTGAGGTGCTGCTTCCTGCTCCCAGAGCTAAAGCAGGAACGTACCTGGGAGTGTCTGTAAAGAGTCAGCAGCACGGCGTATCCTCCAGACCTCTTCTGGGGTACATACTCGCGCCTCTTCCTCTTCCCTCCTCCTCCATCCTTCTCCCCACCACCTGCAGGATGCTTCTGCAACGTCACACGTCACACTTTAGCTTTTAAACCAAGACCACATCAGTTTGTTGACGCTTCAAATAAACTAAATAAGAGGTGTCCTGAAGCTCCCTCTGGTGGACACAGGACGTGACTCTTCTAACACGACCGGACTTTTGTCCCACTTTTTAATGAGTGGTGAAATGTGACATTTCTATAAACCAGCTGAGTTTAGTTTGTGATCACTCAGCTGTTTGGTTTTCTGTTTGAAACACACACAATGTTTAAAATTTCCACTAAAATCACTGCTGATGTTAAGTTTGCTGCACATGTGTAATAGACTATTTAAAGGGCTGGATTGGGGGTTAAACCACCACATAGCTCCCGAGCACATCCACTGCTGTAGCTCACATCCCCACTGGGGATGGGTCAAATGTGGAGATGTAATTTCACCAGTGTGTGATGATGACTATAGGGCTTTAACTTTAACAGTTAAGCATCATTAAATATTAGGGCTGTCGCGGTAACCGCAAAAATGAAATATCGCAATATGAAGAAACCCACCACGCTGCATCATGCGCCACTGCGATTACTGAACTTGGTTCAACTCAATGATGCATGTTGAGAAGGATGGCTGCACTGGTATCAAAACGAAACGTTACTTCGCTCCTTTGGGAGCACTTTGGTTTTCAGTACGTCAGCTGCTGCGCAGCCAGGGTCCTTGGCCGAGACAGAGCTGCCACCAGCGGCAAAAAAATAATAATAAACGCTCGGAGACCTGCTGAAGTCCCGGACAAGCGCTGCTTCTGCAACCGTCCCGAAGAGAGTTTGAGCCGAGCTGGAGCTCACTCGCTACCTGCAGGAGGAATGCATCGACCCTAAAGAAACCCCCCCCCCCCCCCCCCCCGACATGGTGGAGCAACAACTGGGAGAGATTCCCTTTGCTCGCCAGAGTCGCACGCAGGTACGTGTGCGTTAGTGCAACGAGCGCACCATCCGAGAGGGTTTTCAGTGTTGCTGGAAATGTTGCCACCCCTCTCAGATCCTCTCTCAAACCGTGTATGGTTAACATGCTGGTTTTCCTTGTGGGTAACAAGGACGTGACCCAGCTATAAATCACCGTCATTCGTGTGTGTGTGAAAGTGAAATGATAGTGCGCCCGCCCCCCGGCGCGCCCGCGCCCGGTACATGTAATTTTTTATGCTTGATTTAAAACAACTAAACAAAATGGGGACTTGTTTCTTATTTGTTAGATGCTGCAGCCAAATTTGCATTTAAAAGTTTAACCTCCTGAATTTTGTTGTTTTTAAGTTCAGTCGAACTCCCGACTGTCGGAGAAACAAACGTTACTGCGATCTGTGTTGTTACTGCCCTTTGATCTGCATTCAGTAAAGTGTTATTAAAGAAGGCACGGCAATTTTTAACCTTTTTTAAATGTGTAAACATTATGTTTAGATAGTACTGCAATAAAAAAAAAGAAGTGCTGCAATAATATCGCACACCGCAATTAAGCCACCCTGAATCACCGCAGGAGGAATTCCTCAACCGCGACAGCCCTAGTAAATATCCACATACATATATTCATCTAGTAACTAATACTTTTAATATTTCAAAAGATTATTTTTTCAACTACATGCTTCTGAACATTTATACCGGTTTTACACTGATACAGTTATCCTCTTGGTCTCTTAACAGGTGTAATTAAAATGCATTTGAGATAAAACTTCACCTTCCTGGAAGGAGCCAGGCTGTTGTTATCTGAGCTGCCAGCAGGGGGCGCTCCTTTAGGGAGGTCGTGGATTGGTGCGTTGGGCCCTGAAGCAAAACAGCAAATCAGTTCATATAAATGCGACTAACCTGCTCATTATCCTTTATCTATTAATCCAGTTTCACTGAGTAAAAGCCAAATTATATATATATATATATATATATATATATATATATATATATATATATATATATAAATGAATAGACAGCCCAATAAAGAAGCTATTGTCTTTTATCACTTGAACCAGGCTTTTAAAAATATGTATCGTTCCCTGCTTTTAACGTCGTGTTTCTTTTAGTTAAGAAAGTTCATTTTGAACAACAATTTCAAATAAATGTTCGAATCAATAAATGACATAAGCACTAAATTAACTGGTTTTCCAAATCATGTTCTTGCTGTGTTTTAAGCATCATAACAACAGTTAGGTTCACTAAACTATCACTAGTCCATCCATTCATCCTACCATTCTCTCTGTAGTATCGCTGCAGCTTGTTATCTAATATTTTGCAGATTCCGTCTCCAAAGTTCTGGAGGATTTTTGCCTCTTTCGCGTTTTCCAGTGGAAGTGGGTATTTGTTCAAGGAGTTAATCGCCTGGAAAAAGAAAAAATATGAATTATTGGAATTTCTGATCAGTTTCAGCAGATTTCACATCGTTACAGTTGTTATTAAGACCAGCGCCGGCGCTCCGCACACCACGCACACCACGCACAGCGCGTAAGGCACCACGCTGGGGGAGGGGCACCAAACGCAAGCTTATGAAAAAATAATATACCAGAATGATATATATGATAAAGACAGATTTCAATTAGAAGATGTGCAAAGCAAGTTAACAGCATGTTTACAGAGAGAAAACAATACAAAAAAAAAAAGGAGATGGACCATGACACACCATAACGTCCCCCTCTAGTTCTTAATAAAGGTTAAATAGTTTTGGATTTAGTCATGTCACATGCCAGTGATTTATAAGCTAATATAAACCTATAAATAATCTATTGCAGTATTTTTTTTACCATGGTTTAAAACTTTTATCTTCTTATAGAATGAATATGACAAATTATCTTTTTGTGTCTGAATGCAGGCTCAATGAACAAGTACATTCAAGGAGGAGCTCAAGCCAAAAGTTCAGATCAGCCATCCACCAGCAGTTCAAGAGCTCAAGATCAGTTGTCAGCCATCACGTCTGAACCTTCTACATCACCCAGCCCTGACCAGGAATTACAAAGCCTGGTTCATGCTTCTCCGTCAGCTCCACAAGGGACAGACACGCATGGATTGACGGAAGCGTTTTGCTCTCATGCTTCTCCGTCTCCTGGGGAGTGTTGTAAAGCAATTCCCTGGCAGGACAACAGAGGGCGTAGCGCTGTTCTGTGGTATCCTGTCATGTATCGGTCCAGGATAGTGTGTTTATATTGTGTTTTTTTGTATATAAGAGACTTTTTAACATGGACAAATTTGTCTCTCATTCTCCTCCATCTCTTCATGCGCTCACCACCTCTAAACCCACGTTTCCTGTCATTTCTGTACACAAATTAAACACTTGCTGCGCATCTTTTCACTCCTCCAGTCACGGGGGAATTAAACGTTCATGTTTTTTCGCAAGGTATTCTTCATGCTGCTCCGTGTCTGCCGCTAGTTATCCTCGGCTCTCTTTATGTTTTTGAGGGCACAGTGACGGCGGTGTAGACGACAGCGTCGTCCGTCCTGACCAATCACAAGCTGGCATTGTCCGTCTCGACCGTCTCGTATATATGTCGATGGTCTCGACTGACGGATGTTTAGAAAAGAGTGCTCGACTCCATCCGTCCTTGCGGAGCTCTCCAGCAGGCCCACAAGGACATTGCGTGTCTCCGCACTGACGTAGACGGAGAAGCATGAATCAGGTTTAAAGCACACCTACAAACCGAACACAGCCCACAGCCAGCATACAAGAGAATTAAAGAGAATTTAAGGCGAAGCACTTGCACATACTGTGTTATTGTGTTGTTTTTTCGGGGGGGGGGGGGGGGGGGGTACTACGAAGCCTTTGTGCGTAGGGCACCAAAATAGCTAGCAACGGCCCTGATTAAGACCTTTGTGTACGTTTGTTGATTAAATGAGCTAGACTGTGCCGTTATGACATTTGATTGTCATGGTTACAGATGCAGATATTATGGGGTCAGCATTTAAGGTCCCGCCAACGTCTCTCTACCTTCTGGTAGGTGTACTGGGCCTTCTGGCCCTTCTCTCTAGCCTCGTCCCGGAGCTCGGTTAGCCACTGAAGGAACAGCGGGTTCGGACAGGATGGCAGGACTCGCTTCCGACCCCACTGAGTCGGTTCCGAACCGGGCATTCCTGTGAACCCAACAGTATAAAGATGATCCAGTAAACTCATAATAAAGCATGAAAACAAGAAAGAACACAACGAACAAAGAAAAGCTAACATTATTAGCATGTTTACGGTAACTTTTTACAAACAAATAACAACACATTTTAAAATAATACGTTTTAGAAGAGAATAAGGTGAGTCATTTTTTTCAAAAAATTTTTTATGTTGCTTAACTTATTGTTCAGTAGAGTCGCATTTGCTCAAGCGCCTTGCTTTCAAAGATACGCATCACTTCCGTGTTTACGTAGGTCACGTGACCCACGTGTTTGAAAACGCTGGAAATGTGAGCAGCGACATCGAGCGGTAATAGGAAGAAACGCAACTGGAAAGTGAAGAGTTTAAATTTTTTTTAAAGTATGGCTTATTTTCTCATAACCTTGCTGCTAAATAATAACTCGTACTTTATTCTTTTTAAATTTAAGTTTAGTTATTTAGTGACGCAAAAATCTGTTTAGAACACAGAAACAATTATGTTTTCCCTGTTTATCTGTCACCTCAAGATAACCGAAGGCCTTTCATTTTCAAAGAAAAACAATAACATGTTACATAAAAAAGTAAAATTAAATTAAATATGACAAACTATTAAAGAAACGTAAAAAGGTAATCTTTGGAAAGTGTCTTTTAGTCTCCATAAAACTACATTTCTCCACCTTCTGATTCACGGTCATGACAGAAAGTGTCATTCAACAAACAACTTTCCAATCAGAGTCAGTTAGCTTTCCAGACCGTTATTCCATTGTCAACGGAACCATTTTTCCTCAGGCTCAAGGCAGCTGGAATCCTCCAACAAGACTCAACAGAGATCAGGAATCCAGCCTCACCCTCCCAACAACCACAGCCGCTGCCTTTTTCAATCACACGCACTGTCAGTCCAATGCTCTCTGAGAGGCAGCAGAATAACAGCAGCAGGACAAAGAGCATGAACGCTTCTGGGAAGCCGGAACAGTTAAATATATCAGTTCCTAAAACATAAACCCCTCCAATAACAATGTATAACTTGTTATCTTGGCATCTAAAATGGGTGGATTTTATACTTAATTTGGTCTCAGATGATTCATTCACCAGAAAAACTGTTACTCAAGGTCTGAAAAAAAGTTGTACATCAACTAATAAATCCTGTTGTAGAGAGCCTTTTGTAGAGCACGCTTCAGTCCCTATGAGATAACAATTATATATCCAGAAATTAAGATGTTTAAATTAAAATGTAAAGAATCACATTATTATTAGTAGTATTGTTGTTGTTATTGTAACTGTTTAAGTTCTGAATAAATAAAAATGCAAATGAACCAATGCCCCAAAAAACAAAAAGCCAATTAATGTCTCACAGCCAATCAGCTGTGGAGGGACACAGGAAGTGTCTATAGGACCTTGAAGGATGTCAGTAGTGTGAGTTCTGATGTTTTAGCTCCTCTTCATTAACTCCTAAAACTGTTGTCAGACACAACAAATGACAGCAATCAAAACTCTTTAAAAATGCAGCATGGTTAAATCCAGTCTCCAACCAGGTGTGTGAGTTAATCCTAGTCTAATTCAGAGATGAAGATGTTGAAATGATGTCTGAGGAACTGGTCTGACTCACATGACTGGATCAGGTTTAGGATCCACCAGACCACTTCCTGGTGTGACCTAAGAGTCTCACCACTAATCTGAACTCATATAAAGATTTAAAATGATAACTTTTAAAAGAGATTTGAATGTCTTGCAAGTGAATATTGTGGCTCGATTTAATTGTAGACTGGAAAAAAAATCTAGTTACACCTTAAAAAAGAAGGCGCCATACAAATACAGGCCATTTACCATTCTATAAAGTCACTTTTTAATTGAAAAAAAAATCTGATCAGTCTTATATATTACTCCCTTTATTCCATAAAGACTTTCCATAGAAAACACATCTCTTCTACTGTACAGAGAAGTCCAGGTAATACAGTCCCACAAAAAATATATATAAATGAGCCAAAGCAGAATGACCAGATGCACTAAGGAAAACACCTCCGCCGTCTTCACTTACAAGATCTGATCAGATTTATGTGGTGTTGATGTCTCACTACCCACAAAAGGGTCATAATGTTTTGACTGACTGTAGTCAGACTTGTTTGATGCATCATACAATTAATAATAGAAAACCCAAATCCAGACACGATGATAAATACAAACATATTTACAGTAAATACAATTGATTTGCTCTTCTTGTTAGTGTGCGGTTAGGCTCCGCCCCCTTTACCCTCTACCCGTCCATGAGTCAGCTCCTCCCTCCTTCATCTCCGGAGTTTATCCTGACCACCTATTGCCCAGCTGATCCATTTGTGTCGTCACTGTCCCCTTCCTGGGGAGAACCTGGAGTGGACCCCCCACCGGTGCCGGCGGCTACTCCGCCTACCCTCCTGGCAACTTTCCCCTTGAGCAACGTGCTGTCAGGGTGGAGTGAGTGATGGTGGAGCAGCAGCTCATCCTGAGTCCCTGCCGTGTGGCCACATTCCTCGCAGACATACAGCTTGTTGCGTCGCTCTTTGTAGGCATACTTCAGGGTGACGCTGTGGATCTTCTTCATGTGGGACTCCAGGGAGCAGCGCTGGGTGAAGGCCTTGTCGCAGAGGGTGCACTTGTATGGTCGGACACCTGGAAGGACATTTAAAGAATGTCAAAACTGTTGGCTCATCTGATGATCCCATGATCATACATGAACATAAAAGTGTATCGCCACCTGTATGTGTGCGTACGTGTCTCTTGAGGTCGAAGGTGTCGTTGAAGCCTTTGCCGCAAAAAGTGCACAGGTGTCTCTTAGTCTCGTTGTGGCACTTGACATGTCGGTTTAGCATGCGCTGGTATTGGAATGTCTTCTCACAAACCTGGAACACAAAAACAGCACAGTCCTGTCATGGTTACCGTGTTTTCAGGTCTTTGTGATTTAGAAGGACTTTATTTCTACGTATTTATATTTAGTGCTTGATAAAAGATGGCCACCACAGCTAACTGACATGCTAAAATTTGGTGGTGTTGTAGTTGATCGTTGTCCCCTCCTTGCTTTCCGGTCCATACACATTATGGGACATCTTTACCTAAATTTTACACAATACTTGTTGGGGTCAACCATCTCTGTCCATTAGCAAAGCAAACTCTCGGAGGTCAAATTTGAAATGGAAGTTAACTCCAATAAAGTTGGCCACCAAAGTTAATCAACATTAGCAAACATCAAATTGAGTACACCTGTACAAAGAAAGAGCTGCATTATCTAAAGGTGTGGTAATGAAGGGTAAGGCATATACTATAGCACGGGGGAGGCTTCATCATGGTATGGGGATGCATTGCCTCTTCTGCTGTTAGTCATGTTTAATTTATGATAATCAGCTTTGTGTTGGTCACTAAACAAATCAGCTTAACAAATGTCAAAATTACAGTCATGCATTTAGAGAAGTTCACGACATAAAGAGAACTAAATAAAACTCAAATACACACCTGACACACATATCCTCCTGTTGTTACTGGTGATGGGTTTTGATTCTGACTTGGAGATTCGGTTGCCACAGGGACAACTTCTAAAGGGACGTGGAGAGGATTTTGGGCGGCTGGCATAACGGTGGCTTGTGGAGTTACAGGTGACGGGTCGGAAATGGGGGGAGGAGCTTGAAGGGGAGGAGTCGAGTCAGGAGGCAACTCACCTGTAGTTACCTGAGATAAAAAAGATAAAATATAAACATTAATGCAGAGTTATAAATATTATTTAATGCTTTACGAGGGATTTGTTTGTCCTTCATTTAAAACTGGTTTTTCTCACCTTGATTTTGGATCGGACATAAATGGAGCTGGTCTGCCACCTCCTCCTGATGTCTGACCTGGTCTCGGGTGAATCTGCCGGACTCTGGGGTTCTCCGAGGACCGTGCTAGAGGGCAACTCGGCGTGAGAGTCTGACTGAGAGTTCTTGGTGAGGCAGAGAGGAATGGTCTCAGCAGGACTGGCCTCAGCTTCCATCAGGACGGATGGGGGGAAGATGGAAACTGGTGACAGAACAAGGAAGGAAGAGTAGTTATTATGTTTATCTTTCTCAGGAAACAATAAAAAATTTGTCAAACTTCTGCTTGTCTGCTCTGTGTTTGATCTTGTCCCAGTGGACAAAGTCAGTTTGCTCTTAGCAGATAATGAATGCTGGTCATATTAAAAAGACATGAGCTAATTGGTTTCCTGAGCAAATTTTCTAGGAAGTTTAGAGATTAATTAAAAAAGAATATTATATTAAATGTTTAAATACAGACGTATTTATGTTCACGAATAAGAAATATTCCATATTTTGCCTAGGAATAAACATTTAACTTTAGAGCACATAAAATTGACTAACCCTAACTCTGCTTAAAAGAATTAATAAACCTTTTTTAAGAACAGCTAATGAAGATAATTAAAATGGAAAAGTAACACACACCTGTTGATCTTTATCTACTGATTGCTCACAGTGGCTCAGAGTTTTCACTACATCTACATTGTTTTATTTACAAATATTGCTTTTTCCTCCAAGTACGTCTTAAATTATATGGGACAATAAACAATGATTTTTTTTACATAGGTTTAATCTTCAGGATGACCTCAAATATAAAGAATATAATAATCTTTATTTTTCCTAATCTATTCTAAACGATAAGAAAGCAGTTTATTTACTGAAATATAACATTAAAATATGGTAACAACATGTGCCAGTAAAAATTATCTACAGAAATAGTTTGCGAGACATTTCCTTTCATTTTAGCTTACGCTAACATTTTTGTTAGCATGAGCTAAAATAACTCTATTACAGTTTGTTCAGCAAATGTGACTCACGGTTGATTTTTAAAGGATTTTTTGGAAAACATTACCACATTTTTTCACTTCAGTACTATAATTTATCATTGTTCTACATTCCAAACACATTAAACATGTTATTGTCATTAGCAATGCTATGCTAGCAATAGCTACTTCTAGAGATACATTTAATCAACAAATTTATATTTTAAAACTATTTGGGCCTTTTTAAAAAATCTCCAAAATAATCTCTATGAATATATCATTTGTTGTGTGAAAATCAAACTGGCTAACGCATGCTAAAATACTTAAAGTGCTTAGCGCTAAGCTCCTTGGGATTTTTATCTAGAGAGGCGTTATAGAAAAGATAATTTCTTCTTCTTATTTGTGCCGTTTCAGTGTAAAGTTGTGTTGACATTGTCCAATTTGATGTTGACTCTGAACCAAAAATGATTTCAATGTGGTTCTAAATATACTTTTTATAAAATGTGAGGGAGCAGATTAGGAACAGCATTAAATTAAATATTCTGTGCATTTTAGGGCCTTATTTGTTTTACGTTGTGATTTCTGTTCATAAAAGTGTAAAGAGAATTAAAAGAAGCTTTTCAGGGTGTGACTCGTGAGTTCGATTTATGTTGAATAAGGGAGGGGGAGACAACGTTTGTTTGTCCCATTACTAGGTTTCACAACAGGTGTCCCTCTTGCACCGTTTCATATTTGCACAATCACTTAATTAGCAAACGCTGATATGAATATATGCGCTTGTGCATATGGGTGTGCTCCTGTTTAGCCTATTGTTTAGTGCGATTTGTTTTGCACGCACGCACACACACACACACATATGCGTGCACACATACACACACAAAGACATCCACATTACAGTTAGACTTGTTCAACCAGACAGTCTTGCAGCACCGGCTGTGTACCTTCCTCAAACAATCCACCTGCACAGGGCTGTACGTCAGGGTGTGTTGAACCTGTGCATTAGCAGAACTAAACAAAAGTCCAAGGAAAGTGGGTGGCAGAAAGAGAAACCGGGCAGCTTTTTTATTAAAGGTGTGCGGATGTGTTCGGGTAGGCCTGAGCCAGGTGTGGTTGGTTGCTGTGAAAACAATGAATCAGTTTAGTTTGCCGGGTCTCAATCTGATAAAACCCAAATGTAGATGCAAATGAGGCCCTGCAGCCGGCCTTAAGGATGAGAGTGCACAACAGGTGATCTGTAAACCTCCAGAGTTAACGGTACGCAGTGACAATAACGGCTCTGCGCTGCTTCAGCTGCATATTTAGTAGAGAAATGTCACTCGCAGACTTTGATCTCAGGAGTGAGTTTATTCACACACACACACACACACACACACACACACACACACACACACACACACACACACACACACACACACACACACACACACACACACACACACACACACACACACACACACACACACACACACACACACACACACACACACACACGTGTACACAGAAGATGTGCATTTTTTGCAGATTATTAGAAAAACTCAAACGCCATTCAAATATGAAGAGCAAAATACATTATTTATAGTTTTTGATTCTTGTTGACATAATTGCATTTAAAATCTGATCCCATTGCATTTACACTCTTGTTAAGGCCCAGGGGCAGACCTAGAAACATTTTAAAGCCACAGCTTTGGGGGCCACTGATAAATTTGGGGTGGCGCAGCAAACTAAGTATCTTTAAAGATGATATATTTTTACTTTCTGGGATATTATAAAAACTCTTTGGTGTTTCTGTTGCAGAAAGGTTTTGACTTGATTTGACACAAAGAATATAACTGATCATTTTGTTTCATTTCCTGCTTTTTAAAAAGTTTTTTTTTTTTTTAATCTGCTGAGTTTGACTGAATACAAACAAAATCGCTGCTGGTCAAATTCTCTGTGACTTGTCTCTGTGACGAACATTCTGCAACAACAAATTAAAATAACTCAAATGTTCTATGGATGAAACTCCTCTTTAGGTTTATCAAAGTTTGAGGTACTCAACTTCTACCTCAATTTCCTAATATTACTTTTTACCTTTCCACAAACAATTTCCTCCTGTGCAGTTATCCTAGCACAGGCAGCAAACGTCAACGTAGGTGCCAATGGCTAAAATGAATACATGTTAACTCATATGGAAATTACTGTGCACTAAACATGGATATATAAACCCATATATACTTTTATGTACACATTTGTACAAAGAAACATACATACACATACAGGCATACAAATGCCCATTCATACACCTATATATACTCACGTACACACAATGTGCTTACAACCGCACACATCTGATATGCTGTTACTAGTTCAACTGTGTGTGTGTGTGTGTGTGTGCGCGCGCGCGCGTGCATGTGTTCTCTGTCTTCTCAATGATAGATCGTGGCGGATGGCTGCTTATACTGAGCCAGGATCCTCTGGATGTTTCTTCCTGTTAAAAGGGAGTTTTCCTCTCCACTGTTACTACATGCTTGTTTAGTATGAGTATTGGTTTCTAGGACTGGGTTTCCTTAAATAGGAAACTTTTAACTAATTGGCATAATTAACTGAACTCTATATGTAGGTTGGCTATTTGGAACAACCCCTTTCAAAAAGGTAGGTTGAATTAGAATGTTTGCTTTGTAAAGTGCCTTGTGATGACTCTTGAGATTTGGCGCTGTACAAATAAATGGAACTGAATTGTATTTCATTGAACCTTCAAGGCCACCGTAACAAATGAATACTGAAAGGTAAATTTGATGTTGACTATGGAAAACTGACTTAAATGCGCAAAAAAAACAAATCCTAATTTAGGCTTACCTTTTTCATGGGGCGGGGGCATGTTGCTATATTAGATAATGTTTTATGAAGTAATCAAAATGGAAACTTGAGTGTTTTTTTAATGCAAGCATGTAAATTCAGTCTAGTTTATGTATAGAGTACCCTTTCACATTAAAAGTCAATTAAAAACATTTAAAAGGGATCAAATTAACAGATCATTTCCAAATCCAAGATGAAATCTAATTCATCCAAAGTGACCAAATCTCAGCTGTTAAAAGCAAACTGGAGCTGAAACCTCATGATGAATCCTCTCCAGTGTCTCTGTGGTGACTGCTGCTAGCCGGACATTTAATCTCATCTTGTATTGTTTGCTCACCCCTCCTTACCCCCCATCTCCAATGAATAAGGGAGAGAGAGGTGTGTGTGTGTGTGTGTGTGTGTGTGTGTGTGTGTGTGTGTGTGTGTGTGTGTGTGTGTGTGTGTGTGTGTGTGTGTGTGTGTGTGTGTGTGTGTGTGTGTGTGTGTTTGGGAGGAAGTGGGTGAAGGGGGTTGTGCCAAATAGCCAAATGCTTTGAATTCTAAAACAGAAAAGGCAAAAGGAAAGGGGGAAAAGATGAAGAGTGATGCCTTTTATTCTCCTGATAGTGTTTTATGTTTAATTCCTGGCATCGCTGGCCTGACAGAAAGAGTCAACACTCAGTAGATAACTTTATCAAACACTAGGTGTGAGCCGCTGTGTGTTTGCTAAAGGTGTATTGTCTGCTGTTCGAAGGGTCCGTTACATTTTCCTCCATTCAATAAACATTAACTTTGAAGCAGCGTTAGCACAGAGACAGGAAGTTGATCCAAGATTTCAGTGACGATATTATAAGTTAACTGATTAATAAGAAGTGTATTTATTTAGTTAAATCATACAGACAAAAAATAGGCTAGGAGTAACTTTTAAGCTTTTTAATTCCTAGCCCTACCCTACAACGAAGAAACTGTAAAGCAATAAACTTTATTTTCATTTTTATTTCAGTGCTTGGATCAGAAACAACCGAGGGAACATGTTGCAACTTGCAACATTATTAGCTTGTATTGCTAATGATAGTTAGCTTAACTATTCAAATCAGTTAGATGATCTTGTTAAGTCTGACATCATTCTAGATCCGAGTTCCAAGATAAAAGTTCTGTCAGCTAGTTAGCTTAGCTTTGTTTAACTTAGCCTACCTAGCTCATCCTAGATGTAAACATCAACCAGATTGGCTTTATCTAACTGTAAAAGAACATATTTAAAATTGTGAAACTGAAAACAAAGTTAACATCAATGCTGGGATTTTCTCTGGAGTTTAGGGGCAGAATGTCTCTTTTCACCTGTTTTTGTGAGACGCTAATTAGACAACCTTCATGGGAAAGAAGCCTTAAAAGTTGCATTTTTAAATCATAAGAGTTGAAAAATGTGTTGGTTTTCATTTCCTGTATTTTTCAGCAGCCTCAAAGTCAGTACAGATGCTGAATATAACCTACTACAAAAGTATAAGTGGATTTAGGTAAATTATTGCAAAAGAAGCCCACCTAAATTCACAGCTGACCAAAACAAATGACAAAAACTAAAATAGGCCCAATAAAATATAAAGATGCAAACTTGTAGCTTTGATTTACTATAAATCAGACAATAAAATTACATTATTAATCCACTGTTGGGGTCAGTAAAATTATTGCTTTGTGCCAACAGCTGTATTTTTTCATTAGTCTCACCTAAATGTCTGAGTGATTAAGTTTTTTTTGCTAAATTGAGAAAAACTGCTCACTGACACAATTTCAAAGGGAATTGCAAAGAACAAAATGCTGTAAAAAATTAGGTAACCTACTTGTTGAACAGCAACATTTGTGATATTCAAAAGAGAAAATGTATGATTTTATAAAACTGTTTAGTAATGATGAGGAGACTAAAAGCTCTCTTTTGTGTTTTAGTTTAACTACAATAAACATAAAACCAGATTAAAAAGGAGACAATTTTTATTCAAGAGCTAAAAGTGTTTTTCAAAATAAAAATTTCAGCCATTCATTCAGATTTTTAACACCAAAAGATGTTTTGACCTTAAATAATCTTTTCTTCTTCTTTATCTAAATAAAATTGGGGAACTTGAACAAAAACAGACATCAGGATTAAATGTTTGGTGAGGAACATCTGCAGGAGGTCAGAGGATGGCTTTGTGAATTATTTTACAGCTATTCCTCGCGTCCTATCAAAACCAAAATGATGTGACGGTTTCTTCTTTAACAGTTTTGTCTAAACTCAGAAAACTGCATTCCAAGTCAGAGTTACAAACAACCGCAGGGACTCAGACTGACGATCCATCAGAAACAGGCCCTGGCACATGTTTGTGGGTTTGGAGATAAATAAGCCACCCACACACACACACACACACACACACACACACACACACACACACACACACACACACACACACACACACACACACACACACACACACACACACACACACACACACACACCGTTTAGAAAAAACCGTAAAAGCTGATGGCTTCTGGTTTCATAATAAAACTATTGGACGCACTTTCTCGAGGCAGTTATCATACCTGTGTGCGTGTTCCCAGAGAACGCACGCAAACGCACGCCAGGCAGGTACATCAAGTAACGGCACATACCTGAAGGACTGAGACCGTTGCTGTGGGTTTTTGTCGGAGGGGGTGGATGAGTATGCGTCATCACGCACAAGCGCTCCTGGTTTATTTTTAATTACATAATAAAAATCAGTCACATAATTTGGGATTATGCAGATTTTTTCGACTTAATCCTGAAAAATAATTCGTTAGCACTCTGACTTTATGCCAACTGGGGGTTTCGCTTATTTAATTGCTCCAATTTACAGTTTCGATGCGTAAAAACGCATCACAGAAAGTGCAGTGATCACGTTTTCAGTTTTGCACAACAAATTATTTGATCGTTTAAAACACAAAGACAAACAATTAAAGTAACTAAACACGTGTCAAAATCATCAGCGGATGGAGATGATTAAAAGGTAACGGTGAAGAGGGTCTGAGGGGGGAGGGGATGGGTGAGAGAGGAGACAGGTTTAGGGTGTAGTCCGTTACTTGTTATCTGATACCGGAGTGCTGCTACAATAAAACCTCCGCCGACGGCAACAATGGGGATTGTTCAGAGGAGGGGGAGACGTGGCTCCCCCCTCAGCCAGTCATTTATATGTAAAACCGGCGATAAACGTTGGGATTTGACAGGTATAGCAGAACGATTGAGTCATTCTTGGGCCGTTAGATAGTTCAGGTTTGGGTTTAACAAATAAATTATAATTATTTAGGAGAAAATGCCGTAAAATGAAAGAAAAGTATGACTTTTATTTCAGTTTTGAGGTGAGAAACCTGCGCGAGAGTTTCTAAAAAGAGCAGCTGAACAAGGAAGAAAGCAGCAATCAGGGGTTAAAGGTCGGTGAGAAAAGCCACTGATTACTTTAAGGCTGCTCCCGAAAACCGGATCTAACTCATTCAATCTGTTCTTTTTATTTAAATTACGTCAAAGTTCAAAAAGTCCGGTTCCGGATTTGAACGCAGTTTATAAAACCGATTGGCGACGCTTTCCCGTTATTCACAGTTGCCCCGTTACAACGGGACCCCTCCTCCCCACCTGCCTTCCTCACCGACTGACTCCAAAACAGAAAAACGTGGTCCAAAATGCGCGTAAGCACACCGGACCGCGTACCCGGTGCCGGTTTCAGCGCGTGCCTGTTGTTGTTTTTCCGTCCTTAACAGCAAACATGGCCCGGAGCTGCAGCGTGCACTCACCTGGGATGTAGACGTCTCCCCGCTCATGATCCGGGAGCTCGCTCCAGTTCCGCTTCACCGGAGAGACGTTGGCTTTTTTCACCAGAAAGGCCCGCGGCATGCTCGGATCGGCTCGGCCCGGTTCTGGCTGCGGAGGGAACTTTTGGACAAAAGCCGCTCTCGCGACGTCAAAAACTCAGGTGAGATTTTTTTTTTTAGAAGCAGGAAGCTAGAGGTGTCGGTCCTCCTCCTTCCACCTTTCCTCTCCTCTCTCTGAAACATCCAACTTTTCTTCTTCTTCCTCGAAATTCCCAGATTTAGAGTCCGGTTCGGAGAAACGTGTCGACGTCCGGACAGGTGAGTCCGCTCAGGTGAGCTCGGGTAGGTAAAGAGAGAGAGAGAGAGGAGTCCTGCGCTCTGAAATAACGGGAGTGTGTGAGAGCGGGTGAAAAAAAACGGTAGATATCCTTGATCTCACACGCGCGCGCGCACACACACAGAGGCAGAGGTGGGTCAAAAAGCAGGTACTCATTTAAAAAAGCAGGAAACGGGCACTAGCGCGCATGCGCGGCAGAAAATAACGGTGACAACAAGCTGGAGGGATCCTGGGTTAGGCCCGGACCAGCTGAACCGGTTCTCCTCTCTTCTTTCTCTTCCTCCTCCTCGTCTTCATTCCGCTTTAAGGTGCGGAGTCGCGAGAGGATGATGAGGAGACTAACAGCAGCACTCTTTTGTGTTTTAATTGAACTATAATAAAGATAAAATATTAGGTCAGATTTTAAAAAGCAGATTTTTTCTGAGGGCTAAAAAAACGTATTTCAAAGTAAGTTTTCAGCCAGTTATTCAGACTTTTTAACACCGAAAGTTGTTTTGACCTTTGGGTAATCTTTTCTTCCTCTTTTTCCAAATAAAAGTGGTGAACTCCTACAGAAACACCAGACATCAGGGTTAAATGTTTAGTGAGGAACATCTTCAGGAGGTCAGAGGATGTCAGGTGTTTGGGAGTAACAGGAAGGAAGAGTTTATATGGAGCACATTTGTTTTACGTTATTTGAATGAAGCATCATAAAGAACTCTCTGTGCATTGATTTGCATCTTATTATGAAGGTCATTTTAATATTTCCGCTTCTGATCCAACTTTTATTTAGTCCCTAATCTGGCCTTTTTATTCCTCCTTTTCGTTCTTGTCTTTTATCATGCTTGAGACGCGATTAGTGACATAAATGTCTTCCCTACTAATTATAGTCAACTGGATTAACAAGTGGGGTGGACATAGTTGCCTCCCATCTTGGTACCGTACCAACTACAGGGGGATCAAACTCCTGAGCCTCCCTGCTAAGGTCTATTCAGGGGTTCTGGAGAGGAGGGCCCTTCGGACTGTCGAACCTCGGTTTCAGGAGGAGCAATGTGGTTACGTCCTGGCACACTGGACCAGCTCTCCTCTCTTCTTTCTCTTCCTCCTCCTCGTCTTCATTCTGCTTTAAGGTGCGGAGTCGCGAGAGGATGATGGGGAGACTAACAACTGCTCTCTGGAAGCAGGTTAGGGAGGTCCTGGAGGGTGTGTGGGAGTTCGCCCAACCATACATAAGTTTTGTGGATTTGGAGAAGACATTCGCCCGCTTCCCTCGGGGGTCTTGTGTGTGTGTGTGGGTGAGGGTGGGGTGGGGTGCTACGGTATGGGGTACCAGGCCCTCTGATAAGGGCTGTTAGGTCCCTGTATGACTGGTGTCAGCAGCCTGGCCAGCCAGACTCTTCCACTGCTTAATTCTGCACAGAGGATGAGTTTGGTAACTCTCCCATGCAAATAACCCCACCCTCTGAGAGTTCTAACCGAGCCAATCGTCACTGAGCAGCGTGCGCCACACACCGCAACGCTCAGTTTCTCATAAACAACGAAGATGGTGTTTGAAGTGGAGTTTGCCGCAGCTCTTTCCTCTTGGACATGTCTTTAAAACCACAACAAAAAGAACCGCTTAAAACTTTCCTCTAAAGAAACATGTTTGCGCAATCGCCAGGTGCCATTTTTGACTACATCTTAAAGACTACAGTGTTGCGCGGTACAGTCAGCATTTCCGCATTTTTTGTGATTGGTTATTTTTGAGCTAGTTAGTCCCGCCTCTCATGTGCCTCTGCGTCTGAGTAACCAGACGTACTCTGCTTAGAAAAGAGAGCTGAGTCAGAAGGCAAAGCTCTCGATTTACCAGTTGATCTACGTTCCTACCCACACCTGTGGTCATGAGCTTTGGGTAGTGACCGAAAGAACGAGATCGCGGATACATGCGGCTAAAATGAGTTTTCTCCGAAAGGTGTCTGGGCTCTCCCTTAGAGATAGGATAAGAAGCTTGGTCATCCGGGAGGGGCTCGGTGTAGATCCGCTGCGCCTCCACGTTGAGAGGAGCCAGTTGAGGTGGCTTGGGCATCTGGTCAGGAGGCCTCCTGGACACCTCCCTGGTGAGGTTTTCCAGGCACGTCCTACCATATGGACCTAAAGGGAGACCCAGGACATGTTGGAGGGGCTAAGAGCTGGCCCAAGTGGCTGGGAAGAGGGAAGTCTGGACCTCTCGACTCAGGCTGTTGCCCCCACGACCTGACTCTGGATAAGCAGAAGAGAATGGATGGATGGATTAACATGTCTCTTTTTCTTTCATTTTCAATCTGACTTGTTTTGGTTTAAGGTTTTGGGCTGAGAACGCAGCTAAAAGCCTCCATAGCCATAGTCAATGGGTTTGTTTTCACTGGGTGCAGAAGCGGCTCGCCTTGCACAAGTTCCAGAAGCGTAGTGTCACAGGATTTGCGGCAATCTGCTAATTTAACACTTTCCTGGGTTTTCCACTGTGTAAGCGGCATGTAGCATAGAAGACATGTTTTCACCGCCAGCCCCATGATGCATCACTTTCTACCGGGGCATTTCAAACACAAAACTGCAGCAAATGCATTCCACATATCGTGTCCCCGGAGGTCAAGAAATCACTGGAGAATTGCAATCATGTGATTTTGGCAGTTCGCGCAATAACCAGTAAGGACAAAAATGTCAGCATGTGTCCAAAAAGGTCTGGTTTTTGTTCTGTTCTCCTTACCTCAGACACGGCAGTGTCCAGGGTCATCATGTATTTTAGTTTAATTGTTAAGTAACTGGACATTTGCATGTGTCTTTACTTTTGAAAGTCGTCGTATGGTTTACACTGCTTTCATGTTTGACTTCCTGTCTAGCCCAAACTGCTGAGCTTGGCATGTTCTAAAAGCGTAGCGCCTAAAAAGTCTTCCAAAAGCGTAAATTTAGCATCGCCGTGCTACGCTTCTACAACTCATCCAAAATGAGCTTCTTCACAGTTGAGGTAAACACACCCAAAGACATATAACAGTGTCTGTTAAGCTGCTTACTACGCTTTGCGAAAATTAAACAATACCTATGGTTTAGGGTCTATTTTCTATGTGCTACACTTCCAGAATACATTGAGCTCAGATGTTTGATCAGGCCAAACAAGAAGTCAAACACAGGATCAAAACATTTAGTAAATTTCAAAATGAAAGACATGCAGATTTCCTAGTTTTTTTATCAACTTTTTTTTATTTTCCTTTAAATCAGAACCACAAAACAAAGATAACAATAACATGCACATATATTTGTCTGTCCCCATCACAAGCATGACATGTCACGTCCCGCTTATTTAAAGACACATTAATAGCTGCACCTGCTTATTCAAGTAAACAGAAATATGGGACAAAAATTTACCCAGAGTCCAGAGCCTCGGTTGCTGCACACTGACTCTCACAATGTGTCCGGAGGTGATCAATAACAGTTCTCCAGGCCTCAACTGTAGCGCTCCCAGCCCTGTGCACTCTTGCTACAGAAGGTTCCAAATATGCTATGTCCAAAAACAATGTCGTCCAGGCATACACGGAGAGGCAATGCAGATTTCCTAGTTGAATTACCAGTAAAATAAAGTAATTACCAGTAACACCTCTATCGCTAAAAGAACTGAAATTTTCAATATACACTGCCATCATTCTCTGTCCTTATAGCGTGAACTGCCAAAATTAGGTGGGATTTTTCAATTCTCTGGTAATTTACTGGTTTTTCTAACCTGGCAAGTCATCCTATATATGTAAATATGTAGTCTGGCCAAATCTTGACAGCTTGGTCATGGGGCGGAATCTGTGGTTGTCCACATGCAATTGGTCAACATGATGAATTCATCGCTTAATAAATTAGTCAGTGGGGCAGTCTGCCAACTGATTGGTAAAGAAGACACAAATACATCCTTGTTTGAAATACAGGGAGTGCAGAATTATTAGGCAAATGAGTATTTTGTCCACATCATCCTCTTCATGCATGTTGTCTTACTCCAAGCTGTGTAGGCTCGAAAGCCTGCTACCAATTAAGCATATTAGGTGATGTGCATCTCTGTAATGAGAAGGGGTGTGGTCTAATGACATCAACACTCTATATCAGGTGTGCATAATTATTAGGCAACTTCCTTTCCTTTGGCAAAATGGGTCAAAAGAAGGACTTGATAGGCTCAGAAAAGTCAAAAATAGTGAGATATCTTGTAGAGGGATGCAGCAGTCTTAAAATCGCAAAGCTTCTGAAGCGTGATCATCGAACAATCAAGCGTTTCATTCAAAATAGTCAACAGGGTCGCAAGAAGCGTGTGGACAAACCAAGGCGCAAAATAACTGCCCATGAACTGAGAAAAGTCAAGCGTGCAGCTGCCAAGACGCCACTTGCTACCAGTTTGGTCATATTTCAGAGCTGCAACATCACTGGAGTGCCCAAAAGCACAAGGTGTGCAATACTCAGAGACATGGCCAAGGTAAGACAGGCTGAAAGACGACCACCACTGAAATAGACACACAAGCTGAAACGTCAAGACTGGGCCAAGAAATATCTCAAGACTGATTTTTCTAAGGTTTTATGGACTGATGAAATGAGAGTGAGTCTTGATGGGCCAGATGGACGGGCCCGTGGC